AAATTCACGAAGTCCAACAAGTCCTTGTATGAGCCATCAGTGTAAATCACGGTACTTTTCTAATCATAATCGCTTAGCTTGGCATCATTCAATGGACATTTGTTGTTCAAAAGAAGAAAAGTCAAAAATGAGAGTGAACGGTGACTGCTTATTGCATAAGCTCTTAAATCTGCTAACCGTACATAGCTCACGCAGCTGTCTACAGTTGCTGGGCTCGTTCCGGGTCAGAAATTTAAAGTTTACTGCGGCGTGGGGCTACATCGTCGTTCTGCTGTCGTGTACATTTAAGAATGTGGTGTGGAAAGAGTTCTGACTTTTCCTGGAGTAAAGATATATGTCGGCCGTCTTTGTCACGGAGAAGTCTTTAAAGCTTTAAAGCTCTGAGCTTGACCTATTAAAAGACAAAAGATACATTTGCACGTCACGAGTAATGTGACCTACTGAAAAAAAATCGGGCAATTTGAAAATTTAGTCAAGTTCACACATGCACAATCAACCCCTCATTGGTGTGATCCTCTGATCCGGGAAATCGAGATGTCCTCTCACAAACAACAGTTATTAGTAACAAGCATAACACGATTTTCCAATCTATTAACGAAGTTTGAGCATTTAGGGTCAAAGCAGAGACTTGGGTCGATGTGAATCGGCTTAAAAATAACAAATTTGGGGTATCTTTATTTTACATCTTGGTCGAGACCTGTCACCAGCAATATGATTTCATGTTGCCTTATTCAGGCGGGCGAAACTCACGTTACATGCGATCTGATCATCTGACTCTCACGATCGAGATCGGTAGCTTTAACTCACCAGCTCCAACACGGTTTTTTAGACTTTTTTCGGTTTTTCGAGCTGCCCTTCTCCCCTGAGGCCACGATGAAAAACATACAATATATTATATCTTTATTCTTTATATGTTACATGCATTCCCCTGCAGTAGTGAAAAGTAAATTGTTTGTTTTATTTCAGTGTCGACAGCTCAAACTATGGTGGTATCTTATCGCTACAATGCTGCTAACTAGACTCTTGGATGAAGTTAAGTTGTTTTAGTCAGATGATCTACTTTTTGGCGTTTCCTACTGCCCTAGTTATAGTAGTTCAAGGTTTAACTGTAAATATAGTGTTAAGTAAGTTTCAATACTTCCCTGCCACCTTTTCAGACATTGCAGAGATGTGTGACCGCACAATTCTCAAACCGAAGAATCAAAAGGAGTTATTGATTTATCGGTATATAAAGTATGTATGCTTTATCAAACAAAGCCACTAGGTAAGCAAATTCAAATATTTTGACAGTTCATACTGCGGTTATACATTGCAGCCAATGCGCAGCAAACAAGAGCTTGCCACTGCTATAAGCATTCGTATTCGTAGCTTGTTTGAATCTCAAATTTATTCGAATTATCATAAGTAGCCGGAAGCCCGTCCTGCGGACGGAGTTCTTCAGCACAAAATCGATTCTCAAACATTTTAAATCTACCCTTTCTCATTTCTACTTCTTTTCCTTTCACAATTTTCATGTTTTTAAAAAACTTCTTACCCCTATCCATGTCACCTATGATTCATGCATTTCTAGCTTCTCGGACAGTGCTGTCTTTTCCCTCATTGGCAAATCCTGAAAGTTTTATGAAAAATATAGATCAGAGTTATGTTTGTTCTGCACGTCTGCATTTCAGGTATTCGTGACACAGTTTACGTGTGATGACGTGGGCATCTCTCAACACACTTTGCAGCATGAGCGACGGTGCCGTGGCGGGATATCTGGAAATGTAGCCTTGAGCTCAGTTTATTTTTCTCCGTCACCTCACCCGGGGGAGGGGGGGGGGGAGCCAATGACTTTGGGTACTTTGGGGACAAGTGCAGAATTTCGCCAGCAATTTAACCTCAAGTCTCCAAGATTTTTAGCCCCCATTGGTACCCAAAAGTCTCCTTTAGAAGTCATTTAATAAAAGATAATATCAAAACTACATAAAACTCGCCAAAACTTTGGGTACTTATGGGGACAAATGGAAAATTTCACCAGCGATTTGACCTTCAGTCCCTATGATTTTCGTCCCCATTGGTGCTCAAAAGTCTCCATCAGTAGTCATTGCCCCCCCCCCCCCCCCTCATCCTGTGTCGGCTGTATTCAATTCTGATTGTACCACGGTTAAAAAATGCCAGTTAAATGTACCAACTCTCGTTTTATTTATTGTACCGACTCTCGCTCTTCGACCACGCTTTTCGTCTACTTGGCGTAGGGCGCGGTAATATTTCATGTAATCACGCACACACGTATCGCGCGCGATGTAGAAATAAGTGCAGCGCACATGGTCTTGTGGGTGACCCCCGTAATCCATGTGGTGGGGCAGGAGGGTCAAGCACTGTTTTTGTGGGTGACCCCCGTAATCCATGTGGTGGGGCAGGAGGGTCAAGCACTGTTTTTTCTGAAATGAACCTCCTGATCCATGTGGTGGGGCAGGAGGGTCAAGCACTGTTTCTGAAATGAACCTCCTGATCCATGCGGTGGGGCAGGAGGGTCAAGCAATGTTCTTTTCAGGTTGACCCTCCTGCGCCATTATACTCAGTCTAGTGCATAAACCTTTTATTTTGCATAAACCCTTTATTTTGATTGGGAAAACTTTAGTTTAATGTGGTTACCGTCTCTAAAGTTGGCATGATAGTTAATAAACTCTTATCTATTATGTCACTGAAGATGACGCCTTTCAACATGTTTGACGATAGCCTGTAGATTGATAGTTTGATCTCAGTATTTACAACAATTCATCTAGTTCGATTGATTCAAAGGGAAACAAATTCCTCTCTTATCTATTATGACTATATTTAAATTCAATCCTGTAAAGTAATACTCCTTTTTTAGTAATTTATACATGTGTTTTCTCCTTCTGATTTTTAAACTATTACCGGTCACGCTGAATAATAATGACATCAGTGAATTTAAAGCTATCGTTAACATCACTCAGAAAATGCGCGTCTTTAGCGCGTGTCTTGTTGTTATGCATCAATCCTTCGGTAGATCGGCGAGATGCACCACTGCCTCACCGAGCTGCGAAGGATTGACATCGTGAATCAACGCGCGACCGCAGTACGCGTATACACATGGCTATGTGAACTAAATTTCATTAATTAAATTTTGCCTAATTTTAAATACTGGTTTGTAGATTTATGAACTATTAATATGTAATATAAAATTGTCATACGTTGTATGACCCGCCGCGCACGAAGTGCGCGGCTCCCCCTGTTACCATAGTGAAACGACCGTGGGGGTCGCAGCGTGATACAAATATAAAACGCGCTTACCAATTACCTATACTAGTGAAAAAAGCGCCGCGCATTGGGACTTACCTGGGGACCCCAGGCTATTATGTTCATAATAAAGATTCGGCGGAATGACAGGGTGAGCTCGCCGCCCAGTAAATTGGGACTGCATGGCCCATGTTGTACGTTCAAGATTTATTGTTTATAACCTACCAAGACTGAATCGAAGCTAAGACGTGCCCTGAGTTCCCACCGCGAGCTGATTACTCGTGAGGTCGAAATGGGCGCTGGGTGCGATCTTTCTGAAATTTTGCCTGTTGGTTCGGTGGATGATTTTAGCCACAGCGCCTTAAAATTAGCAAGATCGCAGATAATCACACAAAGTTACAGCTAATTCAGTGATGTAAACACTCGTCGCAATATACTGGAATTGGATCGAGCGCGTTTCTATGGTTACTACTTACTAAGCGCGTGCCCAAATATAATAATGATTAGTCCGCTCATTAGCAATTTGAGAGCGTGTCGCATGTAGCATTATTATAATTCTATGATATAGTCTATATTAGATTTAGTTTTTCATTCCTTGGCGGTCCTCATTTCTGTGGGATATGTTAATGTCCCAGTTTATGTACCTTACATGATTTTGAAATATAGTATCAAGGAGAAATAAAACATAAAATTCAGTCATCCGATCAACACTAGAGGTCCTAATGAAATGAAATCAAGACTTCAAACACTTACAATTATTGGCACTAAAGAAGTATTGTCAAGTGTGATTCGTGGTCAGAAACGTATGCCATTCTGTATGTAAGCCACAATTAGGAGGAAACATCAAGATAGTACAATATTAGTATTACAACTTTACAGATGACAGATAACAAATGTAACTGTCACCAAAATGCAGTTAAGCCTAACGCCTACTTTAGGCCTAACTCGACTCTGCGTTGGGCCTTTCTGGTTAGGTCTAACTGCATCTTGGTGACAGTAAGGAGTAAGTATAACATCAAAATTTAACTAACCAAATATTTTAAAATTTAACTAACAACGACAGTTAAGACTAGCTTTGCAAATTTAAACTTGGCAATGTTGATACTAATTCGTTCAAGATTTATTGTTTATAACCTACCAAGACTGAATCGAAGCTAAGACGTGCCCTGAGTAATTGGACTCGTTGACGGTCTTGAGTCAATATTTGAAACAAATATTTTACGTGTATCAAATAAACAATTAGTGCAAAAATGAGCCTTCATCATTGATCATTCATTTGAAAAAAGTCAAGTCAAATTTCGCAAACCAGTGGTGGTAGTAAGTCATACTCATACTATACCAAAAAGAATTATTCCAATTGGGCACTCAGTGACTGAGCTTAATTTAATTAAGGCTTGACATACGTTGCATGCCACTTTTCGCGCGCCAACGTATGCCCAATGACTTTTAGCCCACCCTGTATATAATAGCGGATAAATATAATATAATAGTATAGTGGAATGACATATGATATAAGAACGCTCGGGTAAGAACTTAAATTCGGTCACTACAAAACCGTAAAACCAAAGTAATTTGATAATTTTGGGAGTACAATAACAAATAATGAGCCACATACTATCAACTATCCTGCCTATGCTAGTGCCTAGGCTCCACCTAACCATGTTCTTTCGCGCCCCTTCGGGACGGTGGGCGCGCTACTGGATAGAGCAATGCCTAGGCCTCAGACCCCCATAATTGGAGGTGAACAAAGGAAAGACAAATTTATTTTCGGAACCAGCCTTGGTCGTCGGATATGGAATTAAAATGAGTATATATGTTATACACAAAACACTTCAACTGATCGTTAAAAAGGGCAAAATTACTTGGAGAAGGATCTTTTGTCGTATAATACCAATCAAATAATCAGTCAGCTAACTAATTGGTTATCAACTGTATATCAAGTTAACTAATTGGTTATCAACTGTATATCATACTGTGAATTGTCGGTAATGTTTGTTGGGCTGCTGTTTGTACATCTATATAATATGTATAAATACCCTATACTAATTTACATGCAAAATTACTAATGCGAAACCCAGGAAAATAAAGTGATCAGCCCAAACCGAGGGAATCAAAAAAAGAAAAATGATTTAAAGGATTTAAACATTAAGATATTCATAACATGTATTACACTGGCCTGGTCTTCAGGGAACTCGTGAATAAATTAACTAATTAATCAATTAATTTAAGTTCAAATCGGACGCTGGTCAGTATTATAATCTGAAGTGTACCCCCAACATTTGAAAAAATCGAGTAATCTACAAATCTACAAAATACTCAAACAAAAATTTTATCATATATAACAACTTTCACTTTTACTTTCATATAATTACTTTTTAGAGGATGTAAAGTTTCACTTTCAGTTATATCTCACGTTCAATTTGAATACTTCCAATATAACTATTAAAGTAATTATGTCACCAGTAGCTACTTTTGGAGATTCATTAGGCTTCAAATGGACAATTAAGCTACCAAGTTCAAACGACTTCATATAAAACTCTTAAAAATGTTTAAAACTTAACTCATATCAAAACAATTCATCATTAATGTGACGATTTAAAACGTAACTCGAAACTGAATTTTATCAGAAAAACGATCCATCGCCTATTAATTAGATTAAATACCATATATTATATGTTACTACTACGGGAGCTGAGAATCAGGGTCCGTTAGTCCAAAGCCGTTTCCGATCAAGGCACGTGCCACGCTGGTGACTCTAAACGAATCACGCGTGAACCGGGTCACGGGCAGTGACGCCACACGTTCAGAGGTCACGTGCAGTGACGTCACGTAGTCTGGGTCGGGTGCCGCGTGACCCTGAGCGCACGTGCGTATAGCTTATCTCCACTGCTTGTTTCCTCCCCAAGTACCGGCGCTAGCACGAGGTGCTGAGGCGGGGCCAAGTCCAGGGAACGCTGTCAAGTCAGAGGTATCCGGCGCTACCTGATCATAGATAAGAGTTGATTAATTAATTATGAATACTTAATATTCAATAAGGTCACAAGATGTTGCTAATAGAATCTTGTCTTTTGATGACGTTTAAACATGAACAATTTTGCTATCACGATCTCGGTATCACAATCGATCATTGCGACGGAAAAGGATAATTTAACAAAAATTAATCAAATGACGAATTTAAGCAATTAGTAAATAAGTAATTAATTAGTTGATAAGTAATTAATTAGTTGATAAGCAATTAGTAAATAAGTAATTAATTAGTTGATAAGCAATTAGTAAATAAGTAATTAATTAGTTGATAAGTAATTAATTAGTAAATAAGTAATTAGTAAATACCTGTGGAGGTGGTTGTTGCTGCTGCTGTCCATGTTGCCAAGGAGCGTCACGTACGAAGAAGCCAGGTTGTGGTTGTTGTCTGGGTCTGGAGTACTGGGCTTGATGGGCTTCATCCTGGATCTTCTCTAACACTGCATCCATCTGGACAGGGAGACTGGTTAATTAATTTACTAATTATTAATTAATCAGCTAATCGTTTACTTATCTATATAAAATATTATAATCTGACATCTTAAAACAAGATGAAAAAGGAGGATTGGAACTCCACGAAAACTGTGAATTTGGCAAAACAAACCATTTCCTCAGCGAGCTCCAGGAGATGCTCCTTACACTCCTCAACGTTGGCCTCGTTACCCTCAACCGACACTGTATTTCCTGTTTCTCCTCCGGAGAACTTGATATCAACACCAAACTTCTCCATGATCTTGCGGATATTCTTTCCACGTTGTCCGATCAACCTGAACGAGAATGAGGGGTTAAAATGGCTGTTGTAATTTGAACTTATTAATTTCTAAACACGATTGACCGTACACCTAATAGTACTAAACATTACTAGATTCCAGAAGTCTAGATGCTTACCTAGCATGAATCCTGCTGTCAATCTCGACAGTACCAGTAACCCTCTCCTCAAGCTCGGATACTATCTTCATGATACTATCTCTTGCTGCTATTGCGTCAGCTTCGTACCCGACTATCGTGATAACATCCTGGTCTGAACCAGATGAGTTCCTGTCCGGCATTCTGATCTGGCACTGAAAGTTGGAGGGTTAAATTCAGGACTTTTCACTTATCGTTATATTTTGGTTTGGCTGGAAATAGTAAATGATATCACGTGACAACATTACAAAACACACACCTTATGTTCATCCTTGATCTTGTTGATTACAGCTCCTCGTCTTCCAATGATCTTAGAGTGATGTCTGTGATCTACAGTGAGGTTCAGAGAGTAGCTCCTCTTAGCACGATCTTCTTTATCATCGTCCCATTTCTGAAAAAGAGGGGCTTATTAATAATATAACGAATTAACATTTAGCTTATATTATAAGAGCATAGACGCCTCCTCAGGTCTATTTTGCAGATTTAGCAGCCGTGACGCCACTGCATGTGCAGAGTTGGGGGAATCGGCGGCATGCAAACACGTTACATAAAATAGTTCCATACCAGGTGAAATATTAGGAATATTTTACATACCTTGCAATCCAGCTCAAGTTTGCTCTTACACTCCTCGACCTTGTCCTTGTGTCCTCTCACTATCACTATGTTGCTCTTCAGGGTGGTTCCTGTAATTAATTAATCGGTTAATTATCAGAGTAATTAGTTAATTAATGTATTGGATGATTATTTTAAATCGGTAAATTTCGATAAAATTGCCTAATTTTAAGAATATCTTACCTGGTACTTGCACGTTCACATCGAATTCGTCCATTATAGACTTGATGTTCTCACCAGATTTTCCAATCAGCATTCTGAAATAAAATAATTAATACGCTAATTAACCAATTAAATAGAATATAGAATGAATGATCACGGCAAAACTATATGACAAAGCAAGTATGTGTAATTGTTTACTTTCCCGCCATTAAAACAGAAAAAGAGGAGCTTTTTGAGACTCAGAAACACTTGCCTGTGGAATTCGAATGGAATCTCTACCTCCAAACTAATAGGAATGAGATCTAGCAGAGCTAGTCTGGCTTGTTCGCAGTTCTCAGGCCGTCCTACAACCTGGGTTATGAGATGTTAATTTTGGGAGGGGGGAGGTTCTCCAGTGCAAAGATGAGGATGAAGTTACCACTGATAGTTGTATTACTTGAAAAACAGCTAAACTTCTGAAAGGATATGTAACGATAAACAAAATAAGGAAACTCAATGAAAGCCCAATTACCTTGATAATATCTTGGGGATCAGGGGCGGTCTCTATCACAGGCTCTACTACAGGTGCAACTTCTTCTATTACTTCTCCTTCCACCTCTGGTGCAGTTCCTGAAGTTCACACATTTCAAAACTCAAATATGAGGAATATACTAATGTGTGGGCAGTGGACGTCACTAAAACCCAAGTTAAAGGTATAAGTGGTTTGAGATTATAGATGAGTTCGTTGTCTTTAAAAACCTTCAGTACAATAATCGCGTCGTTTAGTTTCAAATTTATTTCAATTTTCAGCTTGATTTTAACTTTGTGTCTATTTTTAGCTTCGTACCGTTTTGGAGGTGACCGTTATCCGCGGTCTCAGGGGTCACTTCAGGGGTCACTTCAGGGGTCTCTTCCGGCTTCTTCTCCTGGTTCTTTCCCTGGTTCTTACCCTGGTTCTTCTTCCTATCTTGTTGGGGAGGGAAGGAGATCTGAACACCGTATGTAGCAGTTAATTTCCGCACGTTGTGTCCTTGAGGTCCGATAATATCTCGGTGGTGTTGTCGGGATATCTCAACTTGTATCTCAACCTGAGCCTTCAGATCATCTATCATGGCTTCCATCTTGCTCTTGAACTCCTCTACACAGGATTTGGGGCCGGATATTTTGACAGTGTTGGATGATGGGCGAGGGACGATCTTTATTCCTCCCAGTTCGTTTGTCATCTGATCTATTGTCTGAAATTAGGAAACTAATTAATTGATTGATTAAATATGTTTTAACTTTTATTGTCAGTAGGATGGTTATTAGGATACTTCGTAATATTGGGGTCATCAAAATATAACATAACGAGTAGCTAACAATAATCATATTATTGCAACCCCCTCATTGGATCATCGTTCATTAATTAGAACAAAGTTTGTCTAATTACAGTAAAATGTACAAAACAACTCACGGATCGGCTTGTAACTTTCTTGAAGAACTCGGAATCAATTTTAATCTCGTCCTCAGCGGTGTTATCGAGTTCCTTGATACTTTCTCGAAGGTTCTCTGCTGCTTTCTCGACCTGATTTAATTAATTAATTAATCATCTAATGCATTAGCACTTCATTCGAAACAATTAAAGCGAGTGATCTGTCGTTTTATCAGTTTTATAAGATGTGCAAGTATTGTGTACAAGGTCTAGGTACCTGTTCCTGACGTCCCATGATAGTGATTGTGTCCTGATCCTTTTCATCAGACCTAGGGAACGCGTAGTTCACACCGAACTCTTTCTTCAGCTGCGGGGAAAAGGGTTAGAACTTATATGATGGAGGTTCATTCTATTGTAGGTTCAAACTGGCCTTGGTGTTTTATATTGTGGGAAATTTAAGGAATCTGTACCTTTTGAACGTTGGATCCCTTCTTGCCGATCAAGAAGCGATGATAGTCAGCCTTGGCAGGTATTTCGATACAGAAACTCTCGAGTTCCTTTTCATGTGCCATCGACAAAAGTTTCTCCTTTGCTTTCAGTACATCTGCTTTCTCTCCTGAGTAATTTATGTGGTTAGCTAAAGGATCAATTTATCGTAAATGGTAGCTAGCTAACACTCAAAGTTCCATTTCACCTTCGTTTGCTGACTTATTTATCAATTATTTATTAGTAACCATGACAACCAACCTCTGATGCTGACTTTCTCGCTAGGATTATCGGCGCTGGGGAACCTGACTTGGACAGACCCTGACTCGTCTATGATACTGCGGATGATTCGACCCTTGGCACCGATAAGGGTGTTGTGTAACTTAGGGTCGATGCTGATCTCTTCTTCGTAGATATCTGTGGGAGGAGAGGGTAAGTGAGGGTGTAATATGTAGTAAGTAGAGACTAGCGAGTAGCATGTTGTCTTAGACCACTGGTTATTTGTTAGAGGTAAACCTTGCTCTGGATAGGAAAATAATATGAGAAGGCAAAAAATGTGGCGACGTACCTTCAAGTTCTGCTTGGATAGCAAGGAGCTTCTTCCTGGCTAGATCCACATCAGCCTTCTTGCCGGTGATAACGATGAGATCACTATCAGCTGCTTCTGAGGGGAGGTCTATACGAGTGTTCGTTTCTTCCTTTACCCTGGGGAGATAAACTTATGTTAGATACAGAGATTAAAAGGACATACATTTATAATTATGTTATATGTAGTGTTTTCGTGTATGTGTTCGTAAGACGACGGAAAAGCACATACAGGGTAATATAGAGCTAGTTAAAGGATGTTGTATTGAGTCACGTACATGACTCAATTGTTACGTGTACCACTCTTGGTGATGGATCTTTAAGATCCCAGTGTTATTTTTACTACAAGCTTATGTAAACAATACAACATTCTTTGACTAGCCTTATATTATTATCACTACACGTGGCGTTGGTAGGTACACAGTCCCCAAACAGTTAACTAACTACCACTAACTACCACTAACAACCACTAACAACCACTAACAACCACTAACAACCACATAAAACAACAACTTACTTCCTGATGTTCACTCCTCCTTTGCCAATAATGTACCGGTGATGGTTCTTCAAGATCGGCACCTTCATAGTAAAGTTCTCATCCACAATCACACTCAGCTGACCCTTCAACATACTGGAAACTGCTTCCACGTCTTTCTTGGGCCCGCGTAGGGACACCTTATCACATTCCGGAGATTTGGAGGAGGCGGTGGGGAAGGAAACCTGGTAAATATTATGTTAACCTGGTAAATATTATGTTAACCTGGTAAATATTATGTTAACCTGGTAAATGTTATGTTAACCTGGTAAATATTATGTTAACCTGGTAAATATTATGTTAACCTGGTAAATATTATGTTAACCTGGTAAATATTATGTTAACCTGGTAAATATTATGTTAACCTGGTATTTGAACCTGGTGAAGGGTATACGGAGATTCTTATCAACACTGATTACATCTTACATAGCATTACCAGTATTGTAACCATATTGTGCCACTGGTTTAGTCCTTTGTAGAATATTACCAGAGCTAGAAGATTACACTATTCTATTATCTCAGCTACGAATAGTGGAAACAGATTCCAAATTCTTTACCTGAACTTCAGGGAACTTGACTCGGATCTTCTGAATACTTTCTCCCTTAGTTCCGATCAGTAGTCTGTGCCATTTCTGTTCGATAACCAGCTCAACACTTGCTTCGTTTGCAATTCTCTTCGCTTGTTCCAGCAGCATTTCACGTGCCTTAGCAACTCCTTCAGGTGGCCCCACGATCTGGGGAGGGGTAACGTGTAAGTATAATATTCTGTACATCAATACGTGCGTTATACTAAATTTAGCATTATGTAATAACAATTCAATTCTATCGGGGATTGCCATAAGGGATCGTTTACATATTAGCCCAGTCTAGGAGAGGAGGTTTGAAAAAGCTTGCTGTAATTTCTACACAATAGTTATATGTAGAAGGAGGAGGGGTATAGAATGTCAAAAATTTAGCTTACGTAATATGTGGAGGGTCCCTGAGTAAGGAAGTAAATATATAACCGATATACATTATACAAGCTTAGATAAAGGGGAACTGATAAAATATTAACATACCTCAATCTCCTGGCCTTCCTCTTGAGGTATCTTGATGTTGACTCCGGTATCAGATTTAATCTTGTTGATATTAGATCCAGCTTTACCGATCAGATGTTTGTGTATCTTATGGTCGATCTTAATGACAGCTCTGGAACGGGTCAGGATCAGCTCATCCACAAGTTTTGTGATCTCTTCTCGAGCTGCGTCGTACTCTTCTCCGGGTGCGTCTATAGTTATGATGTTCTTCTCGCTTTGGCAGTTGATTGTTGTTTTGGGGAATTTCTCAGAGAGCGATCGAATATTTTCACCCTGATTTAGTAAAAAAATCGTTAATAAGAATTACACAGATCGCAGAAAATGACCAACTCGATTTTATAAAAAAATTGTATTGGATATTATCAAACAACTAGGCTAAAAATCTCCCCTCGACGGTATAGCCAGGCGCCCACATAACTTGGAAACATTCCAGCACTTACATTCTTCCCGATAACGTATTTGAGCAACCAGGCCGGACATTCCACGTCACATGTTTTGATGGAGTTAGCTTTTTCAAACAACAAAGACAGGGCTGGGGAAAGAGAATCTTCTAGACCGTACAGTTTGATTGTCTGGGAGCCGTCATTTGGAATCTCTACCCACACATTTGTCTTGTCGAATATATCTTGAATACCTGAAGGCAGATTACTGTTGGTAAAAAACATTTCTCAGAAAGATAAAATGAGGTAGCAACTGCATTGAAGGTTTCGTTCCAAAATTTTAAATGACACGTAATTTTGGCGATGAAAGCTTGAAAAAAATTAACAAAAATCGTCCACTTCGTTGCGAATTCATAACAACAAAAAATAACATTAGAAACTAACCGTTGCCACGTTTGATGTACATGTGCTGGGTTTGTCTGATCTCAACTTGGATGTGAGAGAAGTTTTCCTCCATATCCCTGCATCTTCTCTGTAACATGTCAATACATGCGATAACCTTTTCTTTCTCTCCAGTAACTATGATCTCCTCGTTCTCTGCCTGGTGGGTATTGGTTAGTAGGATAGATTACCACTAGTCCACATGAGTTCTCGTAATCAAATATAGCATTGAGCGATGGTTATTTAAGCTACTGATCCAGACTTACTTGGTAAGGTGGTACGTTGATTCGGCAGCCTGTTTCTTTCTGGAGTTCTTCAAGTTTGTTGTTCTTTCTGCCTCCCTTAATCCAGGGGTAAAACTTCCTGGCAAGGACCACAGACTCTCTATGTCTCGCGAACTGGAAAATTTTAAGTTTTAACTTGCGAAACTAACTATTTGAGTCGTAAATTCTACAAACGCGGGATTTATACGCGCGTGGCATTGCCGACGTTAATAAAAGAGAGTGAAAGGAGTTGGGTTTTCAGTGGAGAAATGTCGCCGCGCGTGCCGCAAAGTTCACTTTATCGTGCAGTCAGTTCGTTACGTCACGTAACACATCACGTGGCTCTGCAGCAAATATTGCTGACGTGGGATCAAAACAAAACGTCAGATTCTTTTTAATACTTGCATGACGATCGATCATTGTGCGTGATAATATTAAGTGTATCTCGTTTTGAGTGGTTTCTGGAAGGAATTAAGAAAGTTAAGTAGAATTATTTTCGTCATATACTCAGTTTTCGTCGTTTACAGAGTTTTCATCTTTAACTGAGTAGGTATACCGCTCTATTGTATGGCTAAACCATTGATATGTGAGCGAAAGAAATTAAAGCATTAACTCTAATGATGCATTGAATACTGTATTTTTAAGAATAGGCCAGGTTTAATAGAAGCTGTTTCAAAGTATGACGTTTCAAATCTGTTGTGCTCTCTCTCTCTCTCTCTCTCTCCAAGAGAACAATAGATCCAAATCTTTTGTCACTTAAAGCTCTCACTTAGAACATATGATAGAGATTGCTGCTAATATAAATAGATCACGTATAAATAGGTCGCAATTCAATAAAAGCACGTCACAAAACATCTTGCACAATATTTCCCAACTTCCGCTTATGAAGTTGTGAAATGTATAAGTCGACGCCCCTCCCTACCGAGAACGCTGCCTTACTACTCAAACTTCAATGATGCAAATTAAAAGGTTAGAAACAATGTCGGTTTTGAGAATTTTAAGTAGAAGTAATGAGAAACTTGAAATGGAAAGTTTTTTATTTGCTTAAAATCTCCATTTAGCTCCGTTTAGATTTCAAAGTTTTTTATATGTACTCAGTACAATCACTTCAATACCAAAATACCATTATCTACTGATGATGTGCTCAAGATACACTTTACCATACACAATAAACATACTGTATTACAGGAAATAGAGTACACCGAACTTAAATAAAAGTTTGGTTTTGTAGGTAAGAAATACTGATGTGTCTAAGGGCCCACCTGTGGTATGCCCAATGTAAAGTAAACATTAGAAACAGACACTGGATCAAAACCACACAGTGTAGAAGGGACTCATCACGCCAGACAGCAACTTTGTAGACATTTATACCAGAGTAACGACCATCACGCACCGTCTAGCGTGGATCTTTCATCTTACATTTACACTCTCCCTCATGTGACGTCACACACTCCCTCACGTGACGTCACACCTCACGCAACTATCACAGTGAGTAGCTACAATGCTATTTTCCCGGTGTTAAACCAGCAGGAAGTATAGTGTGATGGTTGAGAATACCACACAATAACATCTATCATTTACGGGTGCATAATATGCACATATTACATGTACAAAATGTTGCACTTCCAACTGCAACTGTTACAAATAAACGTGGCTAGTAATGGGTAGGTGGTAACGTCTGTTTTGACATCAATAATGGGATTTGATTGATCAATACTGCAAATTGATCAGTTAATTGGTAACGAGGCAAAACGTACGTGCACCACCTCGCCACTTTTACCCACGTTTATTAAGAAAAACCAGAAGGTGATGAAATGCACGGTAACATTTTGGTAAGGAAAGGAAAATTGAGAAGACATTTTCACATTGGACCTACACACATGACTTTTAGTGTGTACTTGAAACTGGAACTCTAACCCTTACTTTTCTCGAGAGCACATCATGTGCAGCCTCCTATTTTAGTCCGAGCATTGTGAATTGTGCATTATGCGCAAAGATAAGAATGTAAAAGGTGGTAAAAATAACAAACACGTTACATTTCCCAGTATGTCTGTCACAAACATGTTATATTATGTTAGGAATGTGTGTGATGTTAAGATAACAGGATTACACAGAATCCAGTTCTAGCAGGTCCTAATCAGATATACGGTGAACTTACGAACGTCACCAATTCCAAGTGTCGTGCTTTAATCCCACGTACTGGTCCACACACAACGTCTGCTTAGTTATTGAGCAATGAATAGCTAATAACGAGGGTGCGGTCACAGAGAACGCAGGTGCTGCTGGCCCTAATTAAATGTTAAGAGCCGCGCAAGATGTTGTTATTAGTTTAGCAGTTCATGATATTACCCCTGGTTGGGACTTTTGTTTCGTCATATTTAAAGGCTTCCAGCGAACTCACGTAACTTCGTGGACCATCTAAAATCGCAAAAACGCCCCCTCTTTGCAGTTCTCCCAAATGTCCGGTTACCTCTCCACCAGACGACATTGTCAACCACGTATCCCTTTTAGCGCGATAAAATTCTTTTATCTAATAGTAATACATAAAATAACGAAATAGTAAGACAACTGATTAATCTAAATTACCTGATCATCACTGATTCTCCTGAGATCGAACATGGCTTTCTCAATACCCTCCTTGCTTCCCTCCACCTTGATGTTGTCGTCATTCTTACCCTGGATTATTTGATTTCGTCACGTGATTTGTTACATCAATAAGTATTATTACCTGTGACCAGGGTCTGGTCATATAGTTTAGAGCATGAATTTTTCAAACAATTCCAACATCGGTTCTATTATGAGAGTGACAGATATTGTCGCAATTTATTTCGTTATCTTGACATGAGATATCCATCAGCAGTTTGTAATAATGAATACACATCTTATCTTGTTTGGAATTTTATCAAGGATACGTGTCTTAGGCATTTAAAATAACAGCCAAGAAATTGATTAACTTTGTTACACAAGTTGTAATCTAGTTTATTCTGAGAAAATGTAATTCGATATCAGATTTCAACAACTGTTCAAATCTAATTAATAAAGACGATCCCATTTCATTATCTACTCATTATCATAAATATCAGATTATGAAATTCAGTTAAAATTTAACTGAATGAAAATCTTGTGGAAACTGCAAATATAAGATACTCAGTTATCTGATTAGCTATGTTTAGCTATTGTTTAGCTATGTTTCTTTTCAGCCAACATCAACATCTAGATAACATGACCCGATGGCCGATATGTAACGACCTACACCTATATTAGGTCTTTCCGGGCAGTAAAGTTTTAGTGTAATCTATCGCATTGCTTGTGATAGGCTAGGTACCACGCCTCATTTACCCTAAAAAGCCTTGAATGTACAGAAACCCCTCGGAAAGTCCAGCTTTACAGTTCTCCTAGAAGATTGCGCAGACCGTGCCCCCTGAGTCTGCGGCCCCTCCATCTATGCTTTTTATGGGTCGTACCGAACTTTTCAATTAAGTGTAAATTTAAAACAGCTAGTTTCAATACCTGAGGTGGAATAGTGATTTGAGTTCCGGTTTCCTTCTGGATCTGCTCTATCTTGGACCTGTTCTTGCCAATGATGTTCTTGTGGTGCTCTTTAGGTATACTGATCGTGGCAGTCGCCTGAAAATGGGAGATGAACTGGTGTGCAATTAACTTAATTAACTTTTAAATAATTTGACATATTTATTATCACATAGGTTTTTTCTTTCTAATAACAATGAGACAACTAGAGTTGAATACAGCAAAATTAATCATCGACTATTTTTAGTAACTTAAGCTAAGTGCTGCAAAAGGTATTTGAGCAGTTAGCGCATGTAGAATCCAGGTACCCTCACATTTTACAACCAATATATAATCATTATGTAACATAAAGTAAAGTAAAGTATGTAACATGAACTTCTTCTAACTAGTCCAGTATTAGAATGGAATGTACTGTTTTGGTGTACACAGAATCAACACATTGGGAGGAATCTAATAACGATGATCCTAGACCTTGGATCACTGAGCTTAATATGATTAACTTGGCTTTACTCATAATATCACATAATATGCACTTTGAAATGAAATTACAGAATAAATGTTAAAGGGAATGTAGAAGCTATATAATAAGGGTCTATGATGTGTAAGGTTGATTCTATTCCTAGAGCTTGACCGGCCACCAGAATACGATTAAGAGTACATTCATCATGATTTATTATTATGTAGTTTATACCAGTGCCGGATTGTGCTAACGGCACTTCAAGGAAACTAATTAAAGTTTTGATGAAATCGTTATATATAAACCACTTTTTCTATTCATTTAAGGTTCATGGCTTCTTCTTGACGCCGGTGTAATATCACATATAGTATGACATGCCAAAGTGGTGGCACTACAAAGTAAGCGGGAGACTTTTTCAGAGATACTACGGTTCAAATAGATATTCTGTAGAAAGATTTACACAACGATTTATCACAATTACCATAATAAGTCTCAAGACTCTCCAGTCTCCATTACACTAGATTTAGTTTACATTATTAACTATACATGGTGACTGGTGAGGAGGGGGAAGATTGGGTGGGTTTAAATAAGAAGTAAGTAAACACAACTATATAAATGGGGGGGGGGGGGGGTGGGGTGGGGGCGGGTAGTGGTTACTTTATTAAAATAACGCTAGTAGACTAGACACTAAGCAACAATGCACTTGATACACGTGTCAACAGAGAGCTATCTTTATGTACCAGTAGTATCTTATAATGTACTTAGTAGTTGATATATTGAATATGTAGAGCTTCAATTGCATACGTGGCCTGGTCTTCTAATGCAACATTTTATCGAGCAATCGTCATCCCAGGAGTACAGAGAAAACAAGTCTTTACTCTTTATCTGGGCCTTATATCTTCGTAATCCTGGCCTTATATCTTCGTAATCCTGGCCTTCTATCTTCGTAATCCTGGCCTTATATCTTCGTAATCCTGGCCTTATATCTTCGTAATCCTGGCCTTCTATCTTCGTAATCCTGGCCTTATATCTTCGTAATCCTGGCCTTATATTTTCGTAATCCTGGCCTTATATCTTCGTAATCCTGGCCTTATGTCCTCGTAATCTGGGCCTTATATCTTCGTAATCCTGGCCTTATATCTTCGTAATCCTGGCCTTATATCTTCGTAATTCTGGCCTTATGTCCTCGTAATCCTGGCCTTATATCTTCGTAATCTGGGTCTTATATCTTCGTAATCCTGGCCTTAAATGTCCTCGTAATCATGGCCTTATATATTCGTAATTCTGGCCTTATGTCCTCGTAATCCTGGCCTTATATCTTCGTAATCCTGGCCTTATATCTTCGTAATCCTGGCCTTATGTCCTCGTAATCCTGGCCTTATATCTTCGTAATCCTGGCCTTATATCTTCGTAATCCTGGCCTTATGTCCTCGTAATCCTGGCCTTATATCTTCGTAATCCTGGCCTTATGTCCTCGTAATCTGGGCCTTACGTCCTCGTGTGGTGTTTAGTACAGCCTGTTCTAGTGCTCTATGCTAATGTCTGAACCTCGAGACAAGAAAAACAGCCATATTAGAACGGGGTACGTTTTCAACTTTGGTGCCCAATCTTCTGAGCAAGTGCCTCATCAAAGTGTGCCGGAGCACATCAAAGCTAAGTCACATGACAAATGCTAAAATTCACGTGACCAACACTAAAAGTGGAGCAGACATTACACAGTAGTCCAGTGAGGATCATCTGGATCATTACACTCATTAAGGTCATTAAGGTAATCACATGTAATAAGAAGCCATTATGATCTGGTGACTGGAGTTAATTGGGTACTGGATAATTAGCTAATTAAGCACTATAGGTAATTAACTAATTTGGTACTATAGTGATAATTGGTAAAGTGGGTGAGGAAACTACTTAAACTTGCGAGCTCGCACATTTGCGCAATAATGGATATTTTGTGGGGAACTTTGAGCGTGATCTCCATGATAGTCCACGACAATAATGTGCATATTTAACTAACTTAATGAGGGACTACTTATAATAATATACAGGAGACCACTGCATCTACTCCACGATGGCATCTACTATAACTACTATCTATAATATACCTTATAGTTTTCCGTAAGAGCTGTAATCACCTTCGGATTGTATGCCTATTGCCTATTTTTTCATCATGTCAAGGCGGAAAAGGTGCAGGAGACCACCTACTATACTCCACTATGCCAACTAATACTACTATTTATACTACTACTTATACAACTACTACTCTTATAATATTCGTAGTTATTTGAACAAAGTCCTTTATAGCGTTCATTACATCACAGAACAGTGCAAGAACAATAACAGCTCTTATTTAAAAACACAGGATAGGATTAGAACAATAGCGACTATTTTTGTTACCTCTTACACAAGGGAGTGTTGAAACAAGGAGGGAGAGGGGCCGGGGGGGGGGGGGGGGGGCAGGGGGTCTCAGTCGAAAAAGGAGGCCATTGTTGAACATGATTAGTGTTAATTATAACACTGACTAGTGAGTTACTCTGGAAAAGAAGAACTAATGATCCATCTCTCGCATTGATATGAAGCATTGTAAACAAGAGAAAACACGTGCAAACGTGTTATTTTCAGAGGGTAGGAGGTCAATGAGGGCGTCGTGGTCTTACGTGTTGCTATACCACTGGAGTGTAACAGATTTACACGTGGAGTGTAACAGATTTACACGTGGAGTGTAACAGATTTGCACGTGGAGTGTAACAGATTTACACGTGGAGTGTAACAGATTTACACGTGAAGTGTAACAGATTTACACGTGGAGTGTAACAGATTTACACGTGGAGTGTAACAGATTTACACGTGGAGTGTAACAGATTAACACGTGGAGTGTAACAGATTAAAACGTGGAGTGTAACAGATTTACACGTGGAGTCTAACAGATTTACACGTGTTCTAGTGTGTAAGATGTGTTGTGTATAGATGGTGCAGTTAAAACAATACAATCAACATCTGTATTATTAGCGAGTCCAGGGTATATTGCTGCTTCCTATCTCAAATTACGTGGTTCCTACTAGACTAAACATTGCTACTGAGTTAAGCCTGTCATACAGATGAGTAGTTACCACTTACCTAATAACAACAAGGTCTAGGAACATACAATGATCTATAACTGATCAAGAACAATTTGTAAGCTTTAGCACGGAAGACTTTCTCGGACATTTCTTTAAACCCTCTACCAAAAAGACATGTAGTAAATTATGTACGATAAATATCAGAACACTCAAAACACTCACGTTGGTCTGTAGGTCCTTCTGAAGTCTGACTTTAGCCTCGCTGACATTAGCTGCTTTACCGGTAACCATGACAGTCACACTCCCATCTCTACTCTTACTGATCTCTATTGAGGTGCTTGTTTGAGCGCTCACCTGGGATAGTAATCATTACGTACAATGTAGTGAAGTATAATGAAGCGCGTTTTAACAAAGAACAAGTACTGGTCAGTAAGTCGTGTTGTAACTTAGTCCCCTCACTGCATCCCCCTGTCCCCTCACTGCATCCCCCTGGCCCCTCACTGCATCCCCCTGGCCCCTCACTGCACCCCCCTGGCCCCTCACTGCATCCCCCTGGCCCCTCACTGCATCCCCCCCTGGCCCCCTCACTGCATCCCCCTGGCCTCTTAATCCGACACATGTCAGGAGTAAAGAAAGAAAGTTTCGAGGGTAAAAATTAGTGTTAAACTTTAGAAGACCAGTCATGTTTTAAGATGTCCGTGTCACTGCAGAATACATATATTAACTAAGGGAGCTTGCCAAGTTGTATACTGTATATATCATGAAATACAGTAAACTGTGGATTTCATGACAGAGTTGTATATTTTTCTTGTCCTGCTGTTATGACTCACAAACTGGATATTATTAACCAACTCAACAGTAAGGGGACAAAATCTTGACCGTAAATTTATTTCTCGTGCGACCAAACAGACAAAATAGTTTAACTCCAAGGTGTTTGATCGAAATCAAATAAACTGAACAACAATTTCCTTGTTCGGTAACATATCATTTGATAATGCTTTAATAAGAAATCTTATAAGATTACTAGAAGAAAAAGTGTTTTGAGAAACTCACTGTTTTGACGATGTTAGTATGATCTCCTGGCTGGAGCTCCATCCCCGGGATGTGGAACAGAACAGTGATGGTGCTAGTCTTTACACGGGGAGGTCCAGTGGGGCGTCCTCTTCCAGCTACTTTGGAGAACGAAACTGCTCCTGATAGAGAGAGAGAGGCGTTTTACAGTTAGTACTTCGATACATGTAAGTATTAGTACAATACAGACAGTATAATATTTGTAAGCTTACATTTGGAAACCTATGAAGTATGTAACTGCACAGTATATCCCTTAATGATATAGATTACAACTTATTGCGTCCTACTAGATTATCACGTACTTTCAAATGGATGACATGAAATTATTCTCATAAAATGAATAGATTCAAGTTATGCAACCATTAGAGCAAGGAGCAGTCACAGAAAATGTTATTCTGCAACCACAACATCTAACTCTAAAAGCACGGACAATAATCTTCTTATTTATTGTATAATATCAATATTACTCTACTATCTTACCTGCCATTCCACCTACAGCGCCAGCTTTACCAGCAAGAGGAGGGAAAGCTTCATCGTAAGTAGGAGCCATCTTATCATCTTTGTCAGCTTCAAGGTCAGTTTCGGGCAGAGAATCTTCAACAGAATCTTCAGGAACAGATTCGGAGTCGATAAACTGAAATAGGGGAGCAAGAGGTTATCAACTGTTAAAAATCATGTGAATTTGTCCGAGTAATGTCGCTAGGTTTCTAAACGTTCCCTATAGTAATATTCAAACTAACGTTTATTACCAACGTTTTTACACCTTGCATCTAAATTGAACATGAAACTCGGAGATTGAACATAGACTGTGTGATTTTAGACATTACCTGTTCGATAACCTGGTCCACCATGACTTCAGTTGCAGTTGGCTCACTGACTACGTCAGCGTCAAGGTTCAAATTTGATTCAAGGTTGCTTGCTTCAAGGTTCATGTTTGCTTCAAGGTTCATGTTTGCTTCAAGGTTCATGTTTGCTTCAAGGTTCATGGATGTTGCTATTTCCATTACGTTGCTTTTATCGGGTCCTTTGCCGTTTGGAGTCAGTACAAGCTGATAATCAGAAGTTAAAAACTTGAAATCAAACATTTTAGTTCGCAAATAAACTTAAAACAGCGAGAAAGAGCCAACTCAGTTACTCTTAGTAACAATACTTTACAATGAGAACATCATGAAAGTGTGAACTAATTCAACTTTGTGTAATTAAAATTGTTATGGGTACAATGCAATATGAAGGAGGCCTAAAAATTATTGAAGGATTTCATGGCAATAATTGTAAGATAACTCACCGAAATTGCACTGCTCTAGTTCAAACCGAATGAAACGGAACAAGTGAGAATCTTACGGATTCTCTCAGCTCTGGCAGCGAAATTAAACTATAGAGTTTGGTATTGAATACGTGCCTGTGGTTCTGCAGTAAATATTCACGTCATCACAAAATTGCTTGCGCAGGAAATGTTTTCAGTATTAAATCTAAAATTGCGCGGCACTCAGAGTCAGGAATTGAATAATGCGACGCGCGCACGGTTCTACTAAATCACTTTCCATGCTTCAAGGATTTTTAATTTTACCGGAGAGCCCTCTGCCCTGAGTAATTAAATTTTAGAACTCTGGTTAAAATTATTTTAGAATTGTGTTTATCGTTAAAAAATGTTAGCAATTATTTGTAGCGCCAAGCTTGACACACTGCACACGCTGCAACCCCTTTTGATCGCGCACTCAATGAGGCTTCTCACAGCGACATCACAGCGAGATCGGCGAAATGCGCTAATGTGCCTCGCCGAGCTGCGATGAATTGATATCATCAATTAAGCAATTATAAATGGATTTAGGGTTAAATTGCGACGAGAGTTTATCGGCGATATAGCGCTAGTATGCACTACCGCCGCGCACGAAGTGCGCGGCTCCCCCTGTAGCGTCGAAGACGCTATAGTGAAGCGACCGTGGGGGTCACCACGTGATACAATGCACTACTGGGCCGCGCCGCGCATCTAGTCTTCTCGTATGCAGATTTGTAGGTTTATAACCTACCAGGACGCGCGCCGAGTTCGACTCGTCGACGGTCCTGATATACGGAACAAATATTTTACGAGTATCACCCGTTAAATGCAATACAGATCGGCGAAATGCGAAGGATTGACATCGTGAATCAATTTTTTCTAGCTTTTGTGTTTTTGTTGATTCACGATGTCAATCTTTCGCAGCTCGGCAAGGCCCAATGGTGTATTTCGCCGGTCTACTGAAGTTGCGAAAAAAATTATTTGATGCGCGGCTCGGCCAAGTAGTGCATCGCGCTACAAAAAACAACATTCAAAATAATGAAAATTTACCTGAGGACCCCAGGCTATTATGTTCATTAACATATATAATTTGGCGGAATGACAGGCTGAGCGCGGCCCAGTAAATGAAAATGAGAATATTATTAAAATATTTGGTTTACCTGTTACCGCGAATTTCCGATATTCATCAAAAATCGAGCGCTTATATTCAATTTTCTTAAATGAAATCTCGTGACTCATGACGTTAACAAAAACTTAAATTTCGTGAGCTTATATACAGGGGAATAATAATAGCTCAGACCTCAGTCACTGAGTGCCCAATTGAAATAATTATTTCTAGTATGACTTACTACGAGGTAAGAACAACCGTGATTTCTCTACGGGGGGACAGAGGTGCGAGAAAGAACTTTGTTGATATAAACAGTTTAGATTTGAATTTGGAGCCACAAGGCAAAGGTTGATTTTCAAATTTTTCTCCCAATATTTGAGATAGGGAATATATAAATTACTTTGTCATAGAAAAGGAACGATGTACACGTGATCTGAGATACCAATATCTCAATATCAAAAGGATAGTGTCTAGAAACATAGGGAATATATTGATTTTTTGAAGGGTTGTTTTTATATAGGGTCATTGTGACAATTATATGTATATTGTTTGAATAATTCTTACTACGAGATTACAGAGTGTAAGCAGTTCGTCAACAGAGTAGCATACCACATAGCAAGAAAAAGGAAGGAGGCCGAGGGATACTGCGATGTAGTAAGGCATGTGAGAAAGACGATAAGATTTGCAATCCTCGATTTGAAATCCTTAGAACAACAGTGATTTCTCTCCGAGGAGACAGAGGGCGGGAAAGAACTTTGTAGATATAGAGTCTCGATTTCAACTTAGAAATATTTTTTGTTTTTGTTTATTGCAGTACCTATTGGCTATTGACAATCCTCAGAACGAGACAGCAACCATCCAATGCTAATTACTAGTATTGAACTAGTTACCCCTTTTCTGGGCGTCCAGATGATAATGCTTTTATGAATAATTTTAACTGAGCGGCAACCCCTCCAAAGATTGACTACCTGGATCCCTTATTCCCTGTTCCCTAAGCAGAAAATGAACTTGTCCCTCGTACAACATACTCCAGTTGAGTTTGCCACTCATGTACAGTTGTGCTGAACATTGGGTAGTAGTGAACTTTTTCTAGGGTAAATTACGTGATCAGCTCTTGAGTATAGTCATTTGTTCGTGACAAGAAGCATGTTTGATGCCTGTCATGCGAGGAGAAGATTCTTCTAGAAGGTTTCCTATTACTGCAAGTTCCTGTGCTGAGTGAGACACAATGTGCCTTACTTGTAGCTAATATTCTTGTCGTTGTGAATTGAGAGTTTTGCGGGTTAAGTGTTCCTCTCGGACATGTGTTCTTTTTAATATGTGTGTTATACCCAAGCTGGTGTACGGGGCTGTCCCATTAATAGAATTAAGGTTCTTTTATTGACACTAATGCTGGTTTGGGTACAGACATAAGCCCTGGGAAACCATCAAAACCTGAGAAGGATTCTCACCCTGTAAAAAACACAACGATTATCTTTGGTTTCATCTTGATGTGGCAAAGAAGCGATTTATAAGTTATAACGTTATATTGAAATAAGTTATTGGTATGTGACCCAACAAAAAATTGTATCTTAGGTTTTATGATATAGCCGAGTAACTCTCTTCATGAAATCAACAATACTGTTGCTCTTCTTCACAGGTAAGATATGATACTATTAGTTTGTTTATTAGTTTACTGATCAATGTATATATACCGATAAGATCATACCGATAAGATCATAAATATTTGCTTGACAATTTTTCGTAACTCTTGAAACAAGCATTTATGATCAGCTGTTGCTTGTGAATTGATATCAATTAGGTTTTATCTTTATGACAGGAATCACATATTAATACCTATGGTGACTAATTATTTTGTATGAATCACAAAATGTAACTTTGTCAGTCGATTACTGTTCAGTTGTGTATCTCTCACTGACCTGTTATTTATCCAGGTGCTACTCTTTTCTTGTCGTCCCATCAGAACTACATTATAGACGACCATGTAGACACTTCATCATTGTCAGTGAAAGTGGAATACTTAAATAGAAACAAACGAACTTCGGATACTACAGTTTTAGGCGAGTGTAGTCTTTTTTTGGCATCATTTGACGTTTAGATCATTTCAAATCACACTATATTAATCTGCATTTTTAATGCAAAGTTGCATAGTTCAGAGAAGGGTCGATCTCTCTCAAATTCCATTCAATGCATGTACTAAAAAGATTATTTATTGTCACATTTATTGAAATGCCTAGTTTGTAAGACTAATATTTAGTCTTAAGACTAAAATTTATTAATAATTGTCAGAAGGAAAGTTCACTCAAATCTTTACAGAACCAGCTGCTGAAGAAGAAGGTGCAAATGCTGAAGAAGATGGTGAAGCTGTAGCAGGAGACGATGCTGCAGATGCTGATAGCAGCTCATCTGAGGTAGTTTCAGAAAGTGGCGCCGGTGAAGAAACATCAGACTCAGATGAATCAGAAGCAGAAATTACCTTAGATGATGGTTCAGTCCATGTTACAAATGATACCGCAAGTGATGGCACAGGTGATGGTGCAAGTGATGGTACAAGTGATGGCACAGGTGATGGTGCAAGTGATGGTACAAGTGATGGCACAGGTGATGGTGACGGAAGTGATAGTGCAGAAACAAAAGATCCGCTTAATTTGGACGATACAATCAACGATTTTTGCGACAATACAAACAACACGTGTTCCAAGGTTAGTGACTTTGTAAAATCCAACTTCACTTCTATTTAATCCGGATTTACGCCTCCGGAATGCCATCCCATTAGCTTATATTCTGTAGTCATTATTTCTCGTTAACCATACATGGTTGTTATCTCGTCTAGTGTCCCACATTGAAATCGCTGTACATAATCAAAATTGAGCCATATCTAACAGGATTTCTCTTGATAAATCTATCAGAATATAATCTAGGGCTGAATATACCAGCATCACCAAATCATCCAGAATCAAAAGAAATGGTCTCAATAATTTCTCATAAATAAGCAGAGTTGGGTATACTCATGTCATTTATATCTAACTACAATTACTTAATCCCATAACCGTTATTTTCAGGACAAGCACAAGTACTACGAAGCTACATACATACAGGGTGAGTAAAATGTTAATGTCTACTAATTACTTATTTATTTATTTGATAGATGCTACCACATACCGAAGTGTTTGTAGTATACCTTTATTTCTGAGCTGTAAAATCTCGTAGAATATACAGTGTAAATATCTACAAATTGTATCAAATATGTTAAATATGTTAATTATGTTAAATATGTTAAATATGTTAAATATGTTAAATATGTTAATTATTCGATCTAGTAACACTCATCTTTCAGACCAGTCACTGTGGATAGAGCTTTCTCCAGACTCCAACCCCATCTATAAGAGCACACGTCACGTTAACCTATCTACATCAGAACCTAAGAGAGGTTATAAACTGCAGGTAAGTAAGGAGTCTCCTGATTAATAGTTGTTATCTGTTGCTAGTTGTACTTTAACTCTTGTTGTTATCTTTTGTTAGTTGTACTTTAACTCTTGTTGTTATCTTTTGTTAGTTGTACTTTAACTCTTGTTGTTATCTTTTGTTAGCTGTACTTTAACTCTTGTTGTTATCTGTTGTTAGTTGCACTTTAACTCTTGTTGTTATCTGTTGTTAGTTGCACTTAAACTCTTGTTATTATCTTTTGTTAGTTGTACTTTAACTCTTGTTGTTATCTGTTGTTAGTTGTACTTTAACTCTTGTTGTTATCTTTTGTTAGTTGTACTTTAACTCTTGTTGTTATCTGTTGTTAGCTGTACTTTAACTCTTGTTGTTATCTGTTGTTAGTTGTACTTTAACTTTTGTTATTATCTGTTGTTAGTTGTACTTTAACTTTTGTTGTTATCTTTTGTTAGTTATCCTTTAACTGTTGTTATTCTCTGTTGTTAGTTGTACTTAACTCTTGTTGTTATCTTTTGTTAGTTTACTTACACTCTTGTTATTATATTAACCTTGTATAAATTCATTTGGTTGTTAATTGTTACTACCACTGTCATGTTAATTACTCACCCTACTCTTGATTCTTAATCTTACCTGTATATAAATCATGTCAATCATATTTATATATAAAGAAATATCGGAACCAAAGATGCAATGGTGGTAGCTCTATATCACATTAATCTATCCTTCAAGCTCCAAATCTTCACCCCACTCCCTTTAATAGCCAATAGGTAATGTATAGAAACTAGTGTAACTCGGCCAAACCCGAACTTAAGTTTGTTTGCTTCGTCAGCGTTTTTACAGCACTATATCGAACAAAAAAAAACAATCTTTTTCTTGATTAAGTGGTTTGGAAAATATAAACGGACGAAGAGACTCAGTTTTCAATATTATTAATGAGATTGTTAATTAACAGGGTCTTGTTAAAATTTTCAAGTTTTGACCAAAGTAACACAACCTCAAATTTTATAATGAATGTTACATAATTATGACGAAGGTTACAAATTATATAGGCGGGTAGGTATAATATCACGTGTAGTACCACGTGTAATACCACGTGTAGTACAACGTGTAATATCACATGTAATATCACGTGTAGTACCACGTGTAATATCACTTGTTGTATCACGTGTGATATCACGTGTAGTAGTTAAATACACAGTTTGTGTTTCTAATGTGCTGTAATGGTACCAGGTGGCTGGTGGGCTCCACCGTACATGGTACAGCACACCATACAGTCTAAAAGTATCTCATTTCTATTACTCACCGAGTAATACTATATATTACATATTGTAACACTGATCATTGATCACGTGTGTAACATTAACATTTCTCCCTTTGTGTTCTTGTACAATAGAGTAAACAGATGCCTCACAGTGTTTGATGTTAAGTCACGTGGTGTCAACACGAGCTTTTCATTGGACGGTTCACCGCCTGAATTTTGAGAATGTATTTAACGTTTGGTGTGTGTCTCACAGTGTTTATAATTTAGCAAGACATTGGTGGTAAATCACAGGACACAGGTGTAATATTAACAATCCCATCTCAACTGCTTAATGGTGGCTGATCTCTCAAACAGAATATACACTCATAGAATATACTAGATCAAGGAGATGTTTAGACTGAGGAATTTAAGAGTTTTATTTAGATAGCGCTAATAATCTGTTAAATTTACACAATGAACACCTTGTTTTAATATTAACAATGTTTTTCATAATGTAAATCTTTCATGTGATCTTAATATAAGATCTTTAAAACGGATAAATATATCGGATTATAAACTTTTAATGTACAAACGTTTTTGTAACAAATATCTCATATTAAAATGTACAGTCCAACAGGTTGGACTCTCGTAAACCACAGCTGTTAAAATTAATGATTTTTAACCACACGAAATAATGTATTATATTACAATGAGTGTGGTTATTGTTTATTGTAGTAGTATAGTCTAGGACACTAGGTATAGTAGTAGTTATATTAGTAATAGTAATAGTAATAGTAATAGTAATAGTAATAGTAATAGTAATAGTAATAGTAATAGTAATAGTAATAGTAATAGTAATAGTAATAGTAATAGTAATAGTAATAGTAATAGTAATAGTAATAGTAATAGTAATAGTAATAGTAATAGTAATAGTAATAGTAATAGTAATAGTAATAGTAATAGTAATAGTAATAGTAATAGTAATAGTAATAGTAGTATAGTTGATATATATAGTATATATATATATATATACTATATAACATAATAGTAGTTGCGCTAACACAAAGACACCTGTTTGTAATCTACATCTCAGCTCCTAATATAACCACACTGTAGAGTGTAGATGTATGAAGTTGCATTATAGTTACAGTTGACTGACTTATATTTGGAGAACATTGTAGTTACAGTTGACTGACTATATTATATTTTGATAACATTGTAGTTACAACAAAGGTTAAACTATTTTTAGGTTTCACGTCGGCTCGTGCCCTATACCCATTATCTTTACAATACCTTTTACTATACTGTAGGGTACGATGCTCTGAGGCTGGAACAAAGTTATAGTGATAGTTTCCCCAACAAGTAATTTCCACCCATGTTAATTATCAACAATATTTAAAAAAATAGCACTTAATTGACTCTGTTTATCTGCCTTACACGTTTAAGTACAATTAGTGAATAAGAAGTTCCCACTCGAACCCTTTGTCGTGACACAATAATTTATTTAAATTAGTTAATATCAGTAATCAATAACTAGTTCTATCCTACACTCCAACTATCACTTTAAACTAAATTATCGACCATCTAGCCACCACCTTAACAGTACAAAATCATAACCACGTGACTTACTCTATCATAATCACGTGACTTACTCTATCATAATCACGTGACTTACTCTATCATAATCACGTGACTTTCTCTATTATAATCACGTGACTTACTCTATGATTCAGGCGGAGGACTACAACTTAACCAACTTCCTGTTCTACGGCCAGCCTTCCAGCGACGCTACAATCACAATCCTAACAGGAGGCTTCCTCCATGTGGGAGATATTCTCTCTCCTAAGATAGTGTCCATTGCTCAGTACATTGCTCCTTTTATGGGTAACTTCAATCCTAATGCTAGTGAATCTTCACATGTCTACTATTACAGCGATGGTGAGTGTTATTGTTTTTATTTTATTTATAGTACGATTATTTATTGTTATTAAGTTTGTTTTTAAGTTGTGCTTTAGTGTCAGTGATTGTGTCATCAATGTTTGAATTTGATAAAGATAAGGTTTCTGTTATTAAAAGACATTATACCGTATGATTAAACTGTATAAGGTAAACGTCACACTCTGTTTTTCTTGAAATATGTAGAAATATGATCTTTTCGTATGACGTCAAAGTTCAGTGGGTAAGGCTGGTTTAGAATTACATTAGATATGAGATCACCAAAAATGATTTAGTTTCAGTTTAAGTTGCCATATTTGGCACCTGAATCATCTACATTTGAAATCGAACCAATTGTATAGTAAGTTCCCTAAATTTTCCACTTAATTTCCTTTACATTCAGATTCTCACCTTTAATTTATTTCAAGAGAACGTGTTCATAGTACAATGGGATAAAATGCAGATAGCTAACAAAAGCGATAAAGGAAACTTCACTTTCCAGCTACAGTTACACAAGAACAATGACATCGTATTCGCTTACAAGGAGGTTCGCTATATTCCGAGTTTAAATAACAATTAGATCATTAATTATAATCGTTATATTTTTAAGTGATTATCTGAAAACGTATGTTAGCCAATCACTGTAATGTGATTTATCGTTCGAACCAGTTTGTAATATGTCTGTTAACTTGGTTGGTTTAAGAATCTTCGACTTTTTCCCGTATAAAGATCGTTTCTCAACGGCCTGTTAAATTGCTTTTAAGCGGAATAGCGTTTGTCTAATCTAAAATTGGAAGCCTTCTTTACGCCGCGCCTCATTGTGACGTAAGTTTTCGACTAGCAGATTTTGACCTTTCTGTGATGAAAGTGCGCGCGGCGTAACGGCAGCAATTGATTTTTGAGCCGCGCACGATCGAATGTACTTACATTTGGCTTACTTTTCAGCTTTCTGTTTTATATTATTACATAACCCATAAAAATAATATATTGGATTACAAACGACTCTACGAAACTTGTCACCATCGTCGCGTTCATATTAAATCAACCGATTACATCATCAGTTATTTGAAACTGTAGAGTTATTGTTTACACGATAGAAAGAAAGTCCTCCAGGTTTTAACTTTCAAGTCTACTCTTTTGAAACTTCTAGCAGGTTCAATAAACATTTAATACTTGCGTATTGAATGTGCTTGGCGCCCTCTATGCATTATATTATATTTAATGCCAATGTGTTTAAGTTCAATGTTACATGACGTTCTAATATTTGCCAGAATGATCGTTAATTATACGGGAATAGTAATAATGCTTCTGAGGATGATTTAGAAACTGTTCTCATCATGAGTTGCCTGATCGCAAATGATTTCCGGAGAAGACTACTTAGCGTAATGATCATTTGGAGTCGTGCCAATTCTAATAAATGATAGACTGTTTTTCCGGTATAGTATAAGACAGTCAACGGTAAGAACAAACACATACACCAAAAGATGTTTCACAGGATGGATAATTTATCACAATAGTTTTAAAGAGATTTTTATGTGACATTTTATTATTTCAGCTCCCGGAAGTAACACTGTCATCTGAAGATCACGAGAACGCAATCGGTCTCTCTGATGCTTTCCATATTGTTTCACCGAGCCATCGTGAGTTGAAATAATTACTTTCATCTGTCGTCTGTCACATATTCTATTGTTTTATGCTAAATTTCGTGCCGAGGCAGAAATAAGGGCAATTATGACTACTGTTTAACATATTAGATTTATAACCAAATTACTGCCAAATTGAAATAAAACCGGGGATCAACCGTTTATCTGGTAGATTCTGTTTACCAGTAATTAAAAAACCAGGGCCAGAACCAATACAACCAATACAATACAATGCAACTAGCGAGGACTTGCAATCTTGTAAGCAGTTTAGCGCTAATCTTTCCTTTCAGCTCGGAAACTTTTCTCCATAACTAAATAAATACTCTTCACGGATATAAATCATAAGAATATTTTAAACTTGCAGCTTCAAATATTTCTTACTAGTCAGTTGTACGGCTGCTAGCTAATCTTTGTGGATCACCGCATTTCGCTTCACCACATTATACAGAGCAAGAAACATGCTCATGATTACTTACTAACTAGGGCCATAATAGTAAGCAATTAATGGTGTTTCTCAGACCTAGTTAAGACACATTTTACTTACCTCGTTTTTTAATATTAATTATACTCAGCAATTTAAATATGTTGAAAGCTTAATAAACTAATTAATTAATTAAGCTTAATAAACTAATTAATTAATTTATTAAAGTGAATAATTATTTCAGTGATGATACACGTGTACCACAAGCTTGATGTAAACAAGACCAAGATACACAGCGGTTCAGCTGTGCGACTCAAAGCTCTTACTTGTGAGTTAAACCCTAACAGTAACGTGGCATTATTTCGCCAAACTTCAACTATTTTAATAATTCTTTAACTGAGTCATTGTTTATTTGGATACTGCCAGATTGCTGTATCATTGACATTGCATGGTATAATTTACTGTGGCACCTGACGCAGAGCCATCAGAAAGGATTAGTCCGAGTTCGTGGTGTCATCTTTACGTATAATACATCTGCGGGTCAAAATACTCATGACCCCCCCCCCCCCCCCCCCTATTTAAATATGATGCAGGATTTGTCATTATTCAGTTGTCCTATTCTTCAAATCTGTTACCACCTCTTATATTATTGAACGGCAAGAAAGCAACTGATTCTTCGATGACGCCACAATCCACATGTTACTATGTCTTCACAAATTACCATGACGTCCCAAATTACCATGACGTCATAATAACCATGACATAACTTCTCAGCGTGTACGATGCTGACAGACTGCTACAACTGTACGACGCAGGTTCTACCTGAGTTCGAGTGCAGGTGGTGCAGTAAGGCGCAGGTGTGCAGTGATAAACACGGCGACAGTGGATATGCAAAGTGGTTCAGAGACTGTCAGCTCAACTACAAAGAGGTATGTAGTTACGGTCGTGATGATGTCACAACTGTTATTATGACGTCACAACTTTCAACTGTCAAGTTTTTCTCTGAAAAGGTTAAAAAGATTCGTGATAACATACCTGCTACCTCTATACCAGATTGCACTGATACTACTGTAAGAATGTGGGTTTCCCAATATTGGTTATGCAGACGATCATCAAATTATGAAATCTTTCAAACCCTTAGATCAGGTGAAAACCTTAACCAACCAACTGGGAAATTGTTTCTTGAGGATAAAGAATTGGATGTCTCAATATTATCTGCAATTAAATGACTCTAAAACTCAGCTTATAGTCTTTGGACCTAGAAAGGTGCTAAATAAGATTGAGGGTTGAAATTGCTCCTAACACATTCGTTGAATCTTGGGTTGGTTATGGACAATCAACTAGTGTTTGATAAACAAATTGTGAATCTCAAGAAGAAATGCTTGCGCAATATCAGGAAAATCCGCTTCCTTTTGAATCTCCAACAGAATCAAGTCATCGTAAACAGTCTAGTGGTAGTATGTCTAGATTACTGTAACGGTTTATATTTTGGTATTGGTGAGAAGCTGACTACCATCACATTAGCTGAATCCTTGGAATCCTTTAAAGCATTTCTAACTCTTAATCAAACTTTTTTAATCAAAACCTGCCTCCCCTAGACTGGGCAAATATTAAACTAAAACCTCCCCAGAAAGGGCAGTTATGTGAGGAGTACTGTTATCTCCCCACCTCTACTGATGCTGACGAGGTGGAGCACACCACATACACGCCTCATCCCCAGGAACCTATTATTCCTGCTCTTAACGACGGGTATGTAGCTGCTAATTGATTAATAAATTAATTTATTATCATAATTAATCAATTACGGGTAATTAGGTAATAACAATAAGTTAATAATGATTCTACTGCTGAATTGTTGAGATTGTAAGGAGCCACTATTTCGTCGATTAGTTAATTTATTGTCATCATGGATCAGCATTTGTTATCGCCATTCACGCCCAGTTTTGGCACTAAATTTCCCATATCACCAAACATTAAATACACAAGGATAATATTTAACATAACTCTCTTACAGAATAATATTCACATAATTTTATTTCAGTTCCTCAAGGTTGAAGGTTGAGTGTGACGCAAACTACTCCGTTTCCATTCGATATCCGATAACAGCTAGTGGCATGTTCTCTTGTACTAGCGGAGGTGAGTCACGTGGTATTTTGATGACGTCACGTGGTGTTGTGATGACGTCGCGCAATTGAATTATTAACATTTCTTCAATTGTTTGAACACGTATTGACAGTTTCATTACACTTTTTAAAGTAAGTTGTAACATATAATATGTACCAACATAACCCTATGTCAATAAAATCACAGAAGCATTTACAATTTAAAATCCTATGTTACTTGTTAAAATATTAGCGCCACAGTTATTATAATATAGTGTTTTTTATGAGTCACTACAAGTCTATTATGACGTCACTACAAGTCTATTATGACGACACTACAAGTCTATTATGACGTCACTACAAGTCTATTATGACGTCACTACAAGTCTATTATGACGTCACTACAAGTCTATTATGACGTCACTACAAGTCTATTATGACGTCACTATAAGTCTATTATGACGCCACTACTCCATGTTATGACGTCATCTCTCCCCACTCCCCAGGTATTGAGCTGCCCACCTGTAGAAAGAGCTGCACTTACACCACAGCCCCAACTAACGGACAACTAAAGGGAGCTAATGTTGGACTTCATCTTAAACCTGGTACGTGACTTCCTATCAGTGTAGTGTTACAATCTGTTAATATCAGGTTTATTTCCTTTTTAATTAAGTTATTAACACAGTTTTATTAACTCTCGTTTGATTAACTTACTACGAATAACTTACGTCTTGCTTTAGTAGTCACACATTTCTTACGTTTTATTTACGCTGTGCTAACGGCTCTGACGCACTTTAACAGAACTTCAGATCGCATTCATAGGAGTTGTATTTCTAAATGACTTCCAATGCTCTTTTAAGGCGTCTCACTGATAATCTCAACCTCAAAAATTTATTTGATCGTGATAATCTCAAACTTACTGACGTAGTACTCTAGAACTGGTCATGTTGTGACTCTAGTTCAACTCGTTTAAGTGGAGACTGGCGAATTGTATTAGATGTATGGATTTTTTCCCCAAGACCACAACGACTTGGAGCCCGTTCCTTAAATTTTTAGCCCTTTTCTTATTGTAAGCTTAAATGTAACCGCACACCTAAACTTCCATATTAAACGTCGCATTTTGTTTGTCTTCTCCTACCAATTATCTAAAATTATTTATTATCTTCTATTCCGATTATATTTGAAAAAGAATTGGCAATCAACTCGTTTTACTTATTTCCCTTCTGAGTTTGTAATTATTATATATGTATAAAACTTTTACTGTTTAATATTATTTTGGGGTTTGAACTGCTCGTTTGCAATGAAACGGAATTCTATGTAATAAAAAACAAGAAACGAAAATCAATTTGGTTAATTGATTACTAATTATTAATTTACCAGCTGTAATTAATTTAACTTTACTATTTTCCTCTCTTCAGATGCTACATTCGTTGTAACCTGCAATTCTGGTCACAAGCTCAAGAAAGGAGAAAGCAGGAACGTAACCTGTATAGATCCCGGCGTCTTGGAACCCGATCCTGCTAACGTTATTTGTGAGTTTTGTAGTTGATTTTCAGATGATATTATTATTATAGGCTGATAACAGTTTGAGTTTGCAGTCTGTTCAAGATCGAGATCAGTCCGTTTATTTGTCTGTTCGTTGGCTGTGTTTTGTGTCACCTGTACTAGTTTGAGTGTAAACTGTAAACTGTAAAAGTGCATATATTGAAGTTTGTGTGTGTGTTTTTAATCGTTATGATAATCTAGTGACCGTTATTCTAGTTGTATGTGGAAGTTTATAAATACAGTTAAAAATATCTGTATTACAGTCGTTATATTGAGGTTCTGGGGATAAACAACATCAACTGGAGGAATGATGTGTACTTTAAGTGGGTTAACGTTATATAAGGGGTTTAATGTAAGAGGGCTGCGTAAATAAGTAGTTCACACTTCAGTTCCGGATAAAACAAGTAAAACACGTACATTTTTATCAAACTGTCATTCTTAAACCTGCTAAGTATTTGCATTAAAAAATACAACAACGGTTTTACAGCATAACAAAAAAGTATAAACTTTAAAACTTTCTAACTTTCTTAATCTGAACTTCTTTGATGCTCATAAACCAAATCCAATGTGAGTCAGAAAGTCACACAGTAAAGGGACCGTAGATTTCCTTACATCTAGCAAGTGAGCTTCCGGAAAAGTTATCAAAAATCCCCGGAAATAAAATAATCCGAAAAGTTTATGATACGTTATAAGTTATAAGTGCAATATATTATTTCTAAAACTATTTTACGATTTGACAATCCGTCTCACATTGAACTTGTTGATCTCGTGTTATCACAATTATCCGTTAAAAACACCAGCTACACTTAATAAATCTCTAATTTAAAAGAGTAAAATAAATCAACATCAGCGTACACTGACCTACACTTACATAGATAATATTTCTGACAGCAGTTTTCCTGCACCGCCAGATTATCAATAATATTGGGAGGTGGTCTCGCCAAATTGGGTTTTGTGTTAAACTGCTGTCAGAATAATCAAAACTTTAAGAGATTCTTTAACGTAATATTTTAAATCTAATTCTGTTCCCGATAATAAACGTACATACTTCTCAGTACTACTTGAATTGTCCTTCTTAAGAAGTTTTTATAAAAAATTTCCGCCCTTTTCTGTAAAAAGGTACGATTTAATAAATTACTGATTTTGAGTTGGCACTCGTAAAAAATTTATTAATTCTTCTGGAGATCGCCGAGTTTTCTCCTTCGTTATCTTTCTTCTTAATTTGAGGGGAATAAGACAATCTCATCTTCTTGTATCTGAAATAAAACCAAATATTATGCAGATTGCAGTTCTATTTTAGTCAGATCAGTGTTTAAACCTCAGTTTAACCTTGGTGAATTGATGACTTAACCTCGGTCAGGAGAATCAGCCCCTAAGTTTAGTAGAACACTTTATCGTAAAACTAAGTAAATAGTTAATTGGATATTTAACTAATTAACTAATTAACCCACCTCTAAATCATCTGACCCACTATTCCCGTTCTTATCCCCCTCTTTATCAGTCTCCAGCTCCAACAGTCTCTTCTTGTAATCAGAGAGGTACCGGTCAGTCAGGGACAGTGGTACCTGGTCTGACGGCGATAAACTGAAACAATTACCTTATTAGTCAGATAATTAGTTAATTAAGTGGTCGATTTGTTGATTAACTGTTCAAATACATGGATAAACTGCGTGAAACCATAGGCTATTAATCCAGTACGTAACCGCCTTGAGAAAGTCACTGCTTATTTCGAATTGGTACGGGCACTGTATACCGAACATAATTACGACGTGCTCGTGCATAATCATATATTGCACGTGCAATATTATATATTGCACGTGCAATATTATATATTGCACGTGCAATATTACCTAATGATAAATAGATTAGTTATAAACCTGTCATTATTAGAGCTGAGGGGCTGGTCGAAGAAGGAGGAGTCGTGTGAGTAGTCCTGGTCTGATCCGTCCGACTGGAGGAGGTTATTAATTAGTGACTAATGAGGGGTTAATAAGGAGTTAATTGGGAACTGATGTGGAGTTAACTAATTTAGAGTTCATTTAGTTAATGAGAACTGAGAAGGTATTGAGTTACTGTTGATGATTATGAGATGATCACTCTAACTGAAAGTGCAAGGGTTCGAGGCATTAGGGGCTAGAGAGCTCGAATACGGTCACCACAACTTAACTTACAAGAACTGACCGTTACAAGAACTGACAGGAACTTACAAGAACTAACAGGAACTTACCACGACGTCAATTATTTTCTGCTCGTTTTTATCAGTCAGCAGGTTTCGAGAGTTTGTTACATCAGGCCCGTCCTGGGTTTGGGACCTTCTCTTTCTGGGCTTCTTACCATTCGTGTGAACTGTCTTTACGTGACGATTCAGATCACCCTGGGTTATTAGTTATTAATAGCAATTAATTATCAGGCAATTAAGCAATGAATTTAGTTTTGATTCATATTGATTCTAGTACAAGAAAAGAACAGATGTGTGTTACTTGGCAGTGAGTAAAAATTTATAATAATAAATCATAGTTGTACCAGGTACCTCTCGACTAATATAAGTTGATTAAAGAACTAAATTAATTTTAATTAATTAATTGTGTGCTTACCACTCTGTTAAACTTCCAGTCACAAAACAAGCACACGTGGTTCTTTATCTTGAAGTGTACAGCTCTTATGTGCTCCATTAGATGACTGTACATAGTTAATGAATAATGTAAGTTAATGAGTAATGTAAGTTAGTAAATAATGTAAGTTAATGAGTAATGTAAGTTAATGAAAATGTAAGTTAATGAGTAATGTAAGTTAGTTAATAATGTAAGTTAATGAATAATGTAAGTTTATGATTAATGTCAACGTTACGCGAACTGTAATTATATGTGCTAATAACCACGACTGATAATTATCATAAGTTTATGATATAAGTCATGATATGTACAATGTTAAGAGTTACGAGTTGTAATAATAAGTTAAATAAGTTAATCCAATAATGTACAAACCTCTTCAACATGAAACCTTTGCCACAAAACGCACACAGGTTATCTCTAATTCCATAGTGAACACTCTTGATATGTCGCTGAAAACATATTTAGATCGTTATAAAGTGTGCCTATCAACGAGAAGACTGGATGATATGATTAAGAAACGGGACATTAAGATGACGTCACGTGACATTAATATGATGTCACGTGACATTAATATTACGTCATGTGACATCAAGATGATTACATGATATATACCTGTAAATGAAGTTTCTGAGAGAAGACCTTGCCACAGTTGATACAGGGGTGCTGCTTATGCACACCACTAATATTAACATGTACAGCCAAGTTCTCCGGGTCCACCTTAACTTGACTGGCAGAAAGCAGCTGACTCTGTCTAATACTCTCAGCATGACAATCAGGTGACATTGTCCTGCTGTGTATCTTAGCTCTCAGAGCCTGCTTCACATTTGGTTCCGTGCTGGAGGGACGAGATAGAGGAGAGGTTGAGTCTGTAGGATCTGAGCTTCCTACTTGTAGAGGGTCAGAGAAGAATGAGGGGTTATGGTCATGTGATCCAGGTAGGAGGGGGTCACATGAGGGGACTCGTTGTGGGTCGGAAGAGCTGGGGCTTGTAGTGATGGGGTCCGAGGAGGAGGTGGAAGCAGGAGAGGGGGAGGGAGAGGGGGTTTTGTAGCAAGTTCTCTGAAATTGTTGAAATAAATGGTTTTGATTTAGGTTTAAAACTTGGAGTGAATCGTAGTGGGGTTTTTTCCACTAACAAGGCCTGGTAACAAATATGACAAGATATGTTGGCGTCTTGCCAACACTTTTATAAAGCTCCATAGTCCATATGTCTAGAAAGTGAGGTTTATGTGTTAATGAGGTTTAATTGTTAGTGAGGTTTAAGTGTTAGTGAGGTTACCTTGGCACGTGGAGGAGTGGTTATGTAACTCCTGTCAGTCACCGTTCTCTCCGCTCTATTCCTCAACCTCGTTCCAATTACTTTGAACTTTGTGCCCTGAGATAAATGTGTTAAGTTTTCATGATTTGCGGAACAGGACTTCATGAAAATTGAGACAGGCATAAATGAAATAGAACGGAATCGACTACATATGAGGATTGAGGAAGGGTGATGACTGATGCTGTAATTAATTTTGATGAAAGCAATGGACATTTTCAACGGTTTTGCTGCGTCAAATCGAATGTGTATCTCGTACAGTCGGGTAGTTATTTAAAAAAACATTTTTGTTAGAAAACAAAAATGTTGTTCCTAACCTGGCCAGACTTAGACTCTGTAGAATTCTCCTGTGTTGATGAAGGAGCACGTTTGGTAGGAGAATTCAAGCTCGGTTGTGAGAGAACATCAGATACAACATCGGACAGTGTCTTTACAAAGAGTTCAGTATCCGCTATCACTAGCTCCGGCAACACTGTAGTGGTGATCATGGGGTTAATTAGGCAGCTAATTAAGGTGGTAATTAGAGAGTTAATAGATGTGGATACTGGTGGGGAGGTGAAACTGAAACATAGTTGTTTTGACACGCGACAGCAATGAACCAATCAGTTTGCACTATTAACCAATCAAACCCCAGAACCACAGTCACGTGTAAAAAATATGATTCAGCTCTCACCAGTGTCCAGTATTCATATCTATAAGGGAGTTAATCAGGGAGTTAATTAGGGAGTTATATTATATGTTGTTCCGGTGAGAAAAGGACGAGATAATTGAAGGAAACACTCAGTTTCCAGGTGTTTGTAATCCAGACATCATTCTGGACACCACTAAATGCGCTATCATATTACTCGCACATCCTGCGAACCGTGTAATAAAACTCTCTTCCAAACACACCACTGTGTTCTGAGTTGTGATAATTAATAAAGCTGGAGCCCTCCTGATATATTACCTGGCCTGGTTGCTTTATTCTTCCCGCTGCTGGATACTGGAACATCAGTCTGCTTCACCTGTACCTTCTCTGTTTCCTTCTTATCATCGGTATCCTTTATAAAGGAGCAATCTTCTATCAGTTCTACTTTGATAGGAGCTGAAGCAACTGCACTCGTCATCTTATCATAGCGTGTGCCCCCTGGTTAAAGGGTTGTCAGGTCAATAAAGAACCAGTCACTTAAATTACAAACAGTTTTACTCTTGAGTGCAAGTGTGAGATTACTGGAATAGAAACACAGTTTTAACCCAACTTTATGTACAGTATCTATTTGATCTTATGACAATTTAGAGAGAACCCGGTGGATGTCCTTGCTGTACGGCAGTGTTAAACAAGGAACTGAAACCGAGGTGGTTCCGTTCAGGCCCTTCACACTTTGTTTCTGTCTAGTTCTAATGTACCGTCACAATAGTGACTTTAATATAACCAATAAATGATAAATGAATACATTAAATCACAACTTGGCGTAGTGTTACGTCACACTTGGCGGCGGGTGACGTCACAACTCACAACTACCGTGGTGTGACAGTATAAAATGTATCCTGTCACACTGTAAACACAAATGTGTGACGGTTTTGAAGTGTAACATCTGACAATGACAACGATGTGCACCTCACTAGCAAACTATTCAACACTAACTATCTTGCACAAAAACCGTCCAGTTATTACTGCGACAAATGGGCTGAGTTTACTTCAAATTGTATTTCGTTTCGAAAATTGCAGTACTCTGTAAGCATTGTGGATCGTTGCTATGGTAGCCTCACGTGTTTTGTCGCTTGCACGTGGAGTAAATTTGTAAAGCTGGTATTTTGCACGTGCAGCAAATGAGTGATGTTATGGGATAGCAGTGCACTAACTTAGTACATGTAATAATGCAGCTGTAAATTTAGAACATGAGACGCTAATTTATATAGTGGACATGAATGTGTCCACTATAATTATGTGTGTACTATGTGCGGATAATGATTAATGCTATTTTCTGAAACCTGCTCGCACGTATGCCGTGCACCTATTTGGATACTGTATCAAGTACCTAAATAACTAAAATATGTACTAATGTAACAAAAATATGTATTTAGCATCCTACCAAAGTTGTTTACGTAAGCAGAAATAATAAAGATCTTGCGAAAGAGCTTTACTTTGCAGTCCACTTATACAAGTATACACTATAATACGTGTAAAGTGAGTATTATATTTTGCTCTTACTTTCAGACAACTAAAAAAGAATGTTTTATGCTCCCAGCAAAGGCATTGTTTTTAACAAGCTTACGTCACTAAAACACAATGTACAGCAGTGTGACGTCACACCACGTGACATCACAATATAACCCTGCACCACACGTGACACACACAACCAATACAAAGCGAACAGCAAAAGTGACGTTAGCTGGTAAAGAGAACGCAAGGACACGCAACTTGCACGATACGGGTCACACCGTGAGAGTCACCTATTTTGAGACATTACCATATATGGAATAATTGGAAACTGGTGACTCCAGCAGCGCAACACACACAGACACAAGGGCCGGAATGTAGCAGGAATGCTGTGTGACAACCTGTGTGGGGACAGTGTGATACGTTTACACGGAGTCCGTACACTCAGTATGTAGTGCGAGGTGTGGAGTTGGCGGAAAGCCAGTGACCAGTGTATAGTGTAGTGCGGACAGTGGACATGTTGGAACTTAATAAACAAGCGACAAATATAGCGATAATAAAGGCGTGTAAAACACGGAGTAACACAAAAAGCAACCAGCCTACACGCGTTAAGTAAGTCGAGCGGACGACATTACTACTACCTACACACATATGCTCGACAAGACGTACACTAAGATGTTGAAAGAGACCGCGTTGCACTGCACGTGAATGTGGCTGGAGCACGTGACGCGCCACGCCACGTGACGCGTCCACGTGCTCACTCCCGTCACGTGACGCCCAGCTTTACTGTTGCACGTGCAAGTTCTATATTTGCACGTGATGGTTGACGTGCACGATGCGCGCTAATAGCTGCTTTGTTTCTACTGTAATACACTCCGTGATGTATAACAGTGTATTTGTGACGGGCGGTAAATGTTACCGCGACCTGCACGTGGTGGTGCGTAATGTGACACGTGCAAGGTTGCCGTGGTAACCTCATTACGGTGTGATACGGGTGTGTTAAAGCCAGGACAATGATATTCCGTGGCTCCGTGTAGTTGTGTGTAATATGAGATTTATAAATGTAATCGTGTGTGTGTAATAATTTTATATGAAGGCATATTATACGCATGTTGTATTTAATATGCCGCGTGTTACGTCAAGTATTTTAGTTATGTGACGTCACTATCGACTGTAAAATATGGGCTGACTTGATCTTATGATAATGTGAGTGTTAGCATGCCATATCCGGATACAGGTATTTTATCCACGCTATTTTATTCTCATTAACACCGCAATAGTAATCAGACTTAACCACTTACACTGTTTATCTTATTAGATATTATTAAAAATAATTGTAGTGTCGCAACTTTTAAGGCTTAATATTGGCTAGACTATCTGTATCAATATCATGTGTATATATCTAGCATTGTATTAATAACATGCACATCGCACATTATAATCATTCAACGGCGCCAGTCGCCAAACAGAGATATAAAATAAAATGAAGATAACTTTTAACACATTAGCGGGAAAATAAAATATGCTATGTGTTACAATGATAAAATACAGCAGAAAAATTGCTACAATGATGAAATATAGCAGAAAGTGCTACAGTGCCAAAAAGGTAGCAAAGAAAATGCTACAATGATGAAAGATAGCAGAAAGTGCTACAATGACAAAAAGACAGCAGAGAAAGTGCTACAATGACGAAAGATAGCAGAAAGTGCTACAGTGCCAAAAAGGTAGGAGAAAAAGTGCTACAACGATGAAAGATAGCAGAAAGTGCTACAATTCCAAAAAGGTAGCAGGGAAAATGATACAATGATGAAAGATAGCAGAAAGTGTTACAGTGCCAAAAAGGTAGCAGGGAAAATGATACAATGATGAAAGATAGCAGAAAGTGTTAAAGTGCCAAAAAGGTAGCAGAAAAAGTGCTATAATGATGAGAGATAGCAGAGAAAGTGCTACAATGATGACAGATAGCAGAGAACGTTTTACAACAACAAAAGGTAGCAGAGAAAATGTTACAATAAAAAGTGAGAGCTGACAGTAACCCAGTAATATACAAAGAGCACGTCCCCTCCCCACACTCAGATATACACATTCCGTAATCTGATATAGAGGGTAATGAATGTACGCGTTTTATGGAACCGTGATACAAATCAAGGCCAAGGGAACGGAATTGTTGTTGGGACTTCGCGACGTTGTATCCTTTTTAAGGGTATTAAAATGGTGATCATAATTGCTGGTCATCCCTCAATTTCTTAATGGCAAAAATTTATTGATGTATGCGTTAGTAATGATAAATTTAAATATTTTAAGTTTTCGCCGTTTTTCGCTTATTCTGAAACAAGTGCTATTTGAATAACGAGCGTTTTCGATTTAATTTGCTGCCGGTTGAAAACGTGTTCTTAGCTTAAACGAAAAACCAAAATAACATAATAAAGAACAAACGGATGAATGCAGTAAATCTTAGAACAATCTCCAATCATCATATAAAACCCTTACAATCCCTCTTGTCAAACGACCGGTAAGGTTTATGAAGGAGCAGCACGAACATTATCAAATAACTAAGCTCTCTAGCTGGACACAGGGTTGTCAAGGTAACAGGCACGGCTAATGTATCATGTTCTGATGTGACTGTTGTAAATGTAACTGTAACCATGGTAACGTAATAGTGTCCCTGCAGCTAGTGGTTGTTTCTTGTTATTATGTCATGTAGCTTGTCAAGATGTAACCTTATGTTTGTAAGTACTTGTGGGATTATCGTTGATGCCGGAAATTTTTGATTTTTGGCGAAAATGCCAAGAATAGCGGAGAAGTGCGGGCAACTTGGTCGTTTAGCTCCGGACAGTCTATGCAACGTCTATGCAACGTCCATGCAACAACAAAAGAACCGTCTATGCAACGTCTATGCAACGTCCCTGCACAATGAACACTCTATGCACACTCCCTGCACGGTCAGTCTATGCAACGTCTATGCAACGTCTATGCAACGTCCCTGCACAGTACCATATGAACACCGGCTACTAGCCGGCTACTAGCTGGCTAGTAGCCACTTTTGTAATAACAGCTCCTCAACTTCACATTAACAACCGGCTACTAACCGGCACTTGAAAAGTGGTCACTAGCCGGCTACTAACCGGCTACTAGCCGGCTAGTGACCACAAAGTTATTATTACTTAGAAATACCTTGTAATTGTGTTTGACAGTAGATTTGTGGCAGGTGAGAGGTATTGCACGATAACACATCCTCACAACGCTGAGTACAACCCTGCTCCTTTAGAGAACGGCATCCTTCACGAGGGGGAAATTATCACCATGACGTGAGTGAAATAGTGAAATAGTGAAATTAATTGGCTGTTGTTAAAGTCAAGATATATAATGGCCATGTCTACAGTTAGCTTCTGTCTTTGTTTATTTTTTAGGGTTGATTGATAGGGTTGATTATAATCCTTCTAATTGGGGGCAAACTCTATCTTCAGTTCTGATATAAATCAATGAATCCCAATTTAATTTAATCAAGTTATTACTAATTAAAATTTGATAATTACTAATTACAATGTCATAATTACTGATTATGATCACATAATTGCAGCTGCAAGGAGGATTACGCATTTGACGCGTTTCTACGGGGCACCCAAACAAACAACACCCTCACCCTAGACTGTGAAGAACCAAGCGACTTCTCCAATCTAGATAAGATGTGTGTAGGGTACTGTAAAGTTGACCAACATCCTAACACTACTTATGACCCCAGCATCGCAATGGTAATTGATAATTAATTTGCAATCAATCAATTAGTAATTTGTTGGTAATTTTTAGGGTTTAAGATCGAAAATACGTCAAAGTAAACTGTTTAGAAGCATATTTTGGGTTTTGCTGTCGTTGAATTGCACTTCGGTGAGATTTTCCTTCATTATATTACACCGTTATTTGTGTAAATGCCGTAAGCGTTCACTCTGATGAATTCAGAAAATTCGTTTCCTGAAATTTAAAAAGCAAATTTCTCGAATTCCTACAAAATATATAGTACATATATTAGCCTTTCTTTCATATCGTATCACTGAATTAATAATCACTTTAAACTTCAGATAGGACAGAAGATAAAGATAACATGCGCTAACGGAACCTTCCTCAAACCCGTGGAGATGGGAAAGGAGTACACGTGTCAACAGCGGGGACCTCTGGTCTTACCTGCCTGTCAAGCTAAAGCTGAAGAAAAGGTAATTTGTGAAGTCACGTGGTGTGATGTTAAGTCACGTGGTGTGATGTCGTGTCACGTGGTGTGACGTCATATTTTAATATATTAGGAAACTATTATTAAGAATAGAATGAAATATGAATTGTAAAACTTAGTGTAAATCAGTACACACTACACAGTGCACAACTATCATTATTGGAGAACCTTATCTGAGGTTAAGTAAACTCCAAACTTTTTAAAGTTTGGAGTTTATCTAAATTCTACATGCAGTTCAAATTACTTACGCGAGGCAGTAGTGTAGAAAATAAAATACCGTTATCATGGGCTATACAAATCAGATTTAAAATGTAATTTAGATTCTAAATGAGTATTCAAAGCTAGTCAATGCGATGAGTATATAATGCAAGAAAACGAAAAATTGGGAGATTTGGCCACGATACGGCCACTATACAGCATAGGAAAAGGAAATCAAATTCTAAAATTAAAAACAACTTTACTAGCATTAAGGAAATCATTTGTAAAAACACTGTTTAAGACTCCCTCATCGGTGTTGACGTAAATATAGTTAGCTACATATTAACATATATAATGTATATCAAAATAAGCTCAGTTATGGATTAGGGTCATGAACTCTAGATTCCGCAATCGATCAGTCAGTGTGACTAATGTTAGCGGTCATTGTCCGTAAACATCGACGATATTTTTCGGGAATCCTATTCATCCCCGTCTCCTGCCCCACAGCTTTCTTGCATATCCTCAAATCGTTCTTGACAGTCATCATGAAAGTCATCATGAAAATTGCTGCCATCATCATCATCATCAGACCCGCCGTGCCCGCCGTGCCCGAAGCGGTGGCGGTGATGACGGAACCTTCTGTGGTGTCTAGGAGACCTTTGAGGACCAGACTGTCCCACCATGACAACCTGAGTTCCAGGAGGGTACACCTGCCCTCCCACTACCACTGGAGCTTGTTGAGCTGGGTAGTAGCCCTGCTGTGGTGGGTATAAGGCGTGTTGTGGTGGGTATCCAGGTTGTGGTGGGTATCCAGGTTGAGGTGGGTATCCAGGTTGAGGTGGATATCCAGGTTGTGGCGGGTATCCAGGTTGAGGTGACGGTGGGTATCCAGGTTGAGGTGACGGTGGGTATCCAGGTTGTGGACTGGAACCCGCTGGTAATACTGGTGGTTGACCAGCTGGCTGCAGTACTGCCTGGGGAGGATACCCGGCTGCTTGCGGAGGATACCCGGATGCTTGTGGAGGATTCCCAGCTGCTTGCGGAGGTGCTTTGTTATACACTATTCCGGGCTGACTCGATTCATTTCCCATAGTTCCTTTATAGTTCCTTTATCCCTAAAACATTGAAAATATAAAACGTGAGTTTTTGGGCACAACCTGTTTTATTTATGGTACTTGACCATTTTGTAGCCATGTAAATGTTCAGAAGATATTAGATATCAGGTATTTTGATTCTCCTTTACTCTTCACTCTTCAGTCAAACGACTGTAGAAGAGAAATTAATTATTCTTTAGAAAAACTAAACAACCAACATCCATAGAAAATCTGAAATCAGTTAAAACTTGAATAAAATTTTACAGTGTAGACTCTAAAGTTGATCATATCAGACTCATGATTCTCTCTAATATCTTAAATAATTACTGATGGGAATCGAGTTGTATCTAGGTATCCAGGACGACCAAACCTTTCGAGAACATCAAAACCAGTGAGCAAAACAGCAGAATATGGTAGCAGTGAGACAACTTGGAACTGGAGCTGGCACGAGAATATTCCGAGTAACAGTGACCATGTAACTCTATACCTTAGACTTCTCACTCAATTTCACCTGCCGTCGTGCTACCACGCCGCGCGGTTCCACGTAGATTCCTACCACGTGGTTCCACCTGGCCACCTGGTAGTCCGGACACATATTATAACTCTGTTGGCTCTATGAACAATTATACATCTTTGCAGAGTGGAAACTTCTCCTCTGTTGATTCAGCCGAATGATCGTGAAACTGTGATTGAGGGTCAAATGAGTAGCTGTCCATTTTTATTTGAAAATTTATATACATTTTTACAGTTTACAGTAATGTATTACAATTACAGATTAAATTTATGTTACAGGAGTTTTATAATCAGTGTTATACAATAGAAAAAGAGATAAAGCTATGAAAAAGCTCTCTTTCAAGGCCTGGTGTATATTGTATAACAATTAATTTTATAGAGAATCGGTCTTCTCTACTCTTTACTTTTTCAATAGACTCGTGTCTATATTATTTTGATAGAAATTTACAGTGGCGAGTACAATGAAAACGACTTTTTCAGTCAAACTGTGATGCGATATTTATCTTAAAATTCTTAAGGCATAAAATACCAACGTCTTATAAAATTGTGATCATGAAGTAAATTGTTTGGAAAGACTGATTGTAGAATTAGAGGGAGGATTATCTCGCCGTCTTGTGATAAAATTGTGATCATCGACATCAGTTCTGGTTCTAATTTTTCTTCATCTAGATCCACTGATCGCGCTCAGCTCGTGGGTTACCTCCTCGGATGGGGTAAGGTTCTTCTCGTCCAGGATAACGTTCCCCTCTCTCGGGATAACGTTCCCCTCGCTCGGGATAACGTTCCCCTCGCTCAGGATAACGTTCCCCTCGCTCAGGATAACGTTCCCCTCGCTCAGGATAACGTTCCCCTCGCTCAGGATAACGTTCCCCTCGCTCGGGATAACGTTCCCCTCGTTCAGGATAACGTTCCAATGAGTATGATGAGTCATATCCGTGCTGTGCGACGTTTCCAGATGGAATCTCTGGAACTTGTTCGTAGGTCTGATCTCTTTGTTTGGGTGATTTGGGGGTATTTCCTTCACAACAACAAGCCATCGTTGCGTTTAACGTGTGACATACAGCTGCGAGGAGATGGAGACAGATGTTAATTATAAACCACCCGTGTAGTCTGTATGATGCTATCCCCTCTGCTAGATACGCTATGAAGCCTAGAGAGATTAACGCTGAAAATAATACTAATTTAGATCGGGGGAGAGGTAAGTGGGGGAGGCGGTGGCCTGATTTGTATTTATGTAAAATTTAAATATATGCCTAGTCCTATAATGTATCAGTATCACAAAAGAATTCAGCGATAAACATTTATGTGCTGTCCCGGGGGGGGGGGGGGGGGGGGGGGGCCGGAATGGGGGATCTGACTTACCTGAGATTATCGCTAAGATCGTCGTTATAGTCCTCACTTCTTTTTGCTCAACTGAAATTAATGTTTAAATTTAATGTCTTGTTCATGCAGAGAAAGAAATAAAACCCAGAAATGTCCAGATGTTTTTCACGGGATTTTGTCATTAAAAATTAAGACTTTTCCACAAAGCTCACGAGTTTTGAAATATCTCCAATCATTACCTACGCCCTTCTTGTAGATCTGATATACTCTCACTCCCATTAAAAGGGCTGCAAGTACAGTTGGTATCAACATGACTCCCAACTGACCCACCCTGATACCTGTCCTCCGAGTCCCATCCACACAAAGTTCCAGATGATCATTGCTATGTTAGATATAATCGCAACAGTGGCGCTGATCCCGCCTACTACTGATGAACGGGGCATTTTGCAGTTTTGTATACTTCCTGAGAATATTGCGTCAGACACGGGAATATAACTTTTTAATATGGTAATGCTACGTGAACTGTGACCTGGTCACAATTAACAATAAACTAATAAACTTTCAATAAGCGGGCAGAATGGGAAGTAAGACTGAAAATACACTAACAAAGTCACATCATTGTGCAGTATAGTTTTACACGTAATAAACTTAGTTCTAAACGATCGCTGTTGCAGTCTTGGAAATGCATTTACATTAAATACAAATTCAAATGATTGATCAACATCCTGTTTGAGTTCCTATATTGTGTCAGTGGCCACTTAACATCAGAAATCAGAATCCCTTCAATAATCACGTGTGAATTAAGATGAAAAAAATTTTAAAATCGTAAATACGGTCACGCCCAGATTTAAGAGAACTCTTAGGTAATGCGAATGTATAATATCGGCCGAATAGAAGTTACAAATCTTTCGGAAAAATTTAGCACGGTAAATCTTGGTTTGTAAGCAACAAATGTATACTCAATGAAAACTAAGCCTATGTACACTGGACCAGCACTATATAATACAAGACGTGTATTTTTTGACATCATGTTCGCTCAGGTTTAATCTGATCCCATTCAATGGACATTATTTGTATACAGTGTCATAACTGTATTTGTAAATTTCATGTAACTTTACACGAGCAGAAATCTGAAAAAACTTTCGTAAGGGGTCAGGGTTAAAAAGGTGTCCAAATAACCGTATGATTTAAAACTTGTCAGGTCCCAATAACTTACCTAGCTTACACCATTGTAATATTGATTATTGCATAGTTGGATGAGCTTCGCAAAGATTGTCTGAAACACGCGTGTTGGATATGGCGAGCTTGAAATCATATGAAACGATATCCGTTTCATATGATCTGTTTAATGACTAATCAACAGGAAAGACAGGAAATGTTGCGACTTAATTGAAACGACCACCATACTTTGACTCAGTCGTAAACACGACATATTCACACAAATAATCAGGTTAATTGTTTCTGTGAAGTACATGATGGTTAAATGTAGTAAGGTGTAGTAAAGGTAGCCAACTGATGTTAACAATTAAAACGTGCGAGTGCAACTGTCGGCGTAAACAATCGTTTGGCACAAACAATAACAATTGTAATTGTAATGTCTACTCATTTATTTCCATGGTTGCATGATCAGATTGACGTTAGCACCACTTAACTACCACTAAGCAACACATTTGCTGTGGGAATGTTTAATCGACCCCTTGCATAAGGGGTAAAATTCCGAAAACACTCAAAATTTGGCTTTGAATCAGAATTGGACTGCCCCTCTGACATACGATATTACAAAGAATTTGATCAAGAACAAATTTTTGCTACTCACTTGAGGACCTTTAAACAGAGGTCGAATACCCAAAAATACCCAAAAATTGAGATTTAGATTTTAAATAGAATGATCTTAGAATGAACATTAGAATGAACATTATAATGAACATTGGAACTGACCTAGTGTATGTTACAGGTGGAACCAAGTGGTGGCAGTACCTCCCACTCCCTCACAATCCTGCTGATAATCTTCATCCTAACTGTTGTGTGTATAGTCGGGGGCTGGGTCCTCTACGCTTACCGTAACCCGACCTCTCCCTCCGGTCTCTTCCTTATTGAGAAGTGCAGACCCTGGACATGGCGCTCCCACACGTAAGTATTGTCAAACACAAGGTTTTGTTTTTTCAGTCTTGTTAAAGATAGAAATTTGGACTTAATTCATTCGTTTAACCCAGGTTTTCCTTTTCAAATATAGAAAATGTCACCTATTTATTTTATCCCACTCGGTCTGCAGATACCATCAACATGGTTATAATCCACGATACAGCTACCCGGATAGGCTGGCTGAGCGGGTTTATATCCTGAGTTAGCTGTAAGTTCTTTACTCACTCGTTACCATGGTAACTTAGAGTGAAAGTGAAAGTGAAAGTGAAACTCCTTTCTCCACAGGTACAGCAGGCACCAAGAAAGCTTGGCTGAATCTTACTACATGGATGGGGGAATATGATCTGCTGCGGCTCTTTTGCATGACCACGCATGATCATGCATTCATGCTATTTGAATATTTTAAGTGTCATAATTATGATAATTAACGCATAATTATGATCACCAATGGATAATTATTAATTATGCTGTAAAGAAACATGCTGTCAGAATACAAGGGTGATTTGTGGAAGTTTGTAGTTTTTAGCAGTAAATATATTTGTTGAATACAAATTGTAGATACCGAGTGTTCAGTGATGTGACTGTTATATTAGTGGGGAGATGATGCACAGTCCTTTCTTTTTGAATTTTCGTCAGAACACATTAAAGGAATGTACTCATATAATGCTAGCGCCTTGACTCGGTGTCCTTAACTAGAATACTACCAGGAGAGGGATCGAAATTGCTTCTTACTCCACACAGATTATTTAAACACATGTAATAAATCTGACAACCAAACTTACTTTACAAGGTTCCTGGTGCAAGTGCATGATCTCCCCCACAGTAGCTTCACGTAAAATGAGGTTTTATTGTAGTTGACTTGTCAGGTGACATTTTGTTGGCAATATTTTAACCTACAAATTGTGTTTAGTTAACATAACACGTGGCTCACTTATATCGTAATTTTACTAAGTTTTTATGCATTCACTAGCCCTGTTACTGTAAAGGTGCTTTTTCTCAGAAACTTTTCAGCCATTGATCGAAACTTCAGTCCTCTGCATGCTGCCTTAAAGTTATTTTAAGTTATTATTAGTTACTTTTAGTTACTTTAAGTTACTTTTAGTTACTTTTAGGTACTTTTATAGTTACTTTTAGTTATATAACATCTTGTATAGTTTTAAAACATTCTTGTGTGTGTGCCTTTTGGAGTGAATATCATATTTAAATTCTTTACTCTATTTTTATACGTATTTAATCTCCCTGAACTTCTGATATTTATTAACTTTACTCATTTGAATAGCACAGTTTTATTTTTTAAGAGTGTGTTCACTGTTCAACTCACATGATTAAAAAAGTATAAATTTAATCTAATTTATCTGGCACGCAATTAATAGTCATGGTGATTGTTATCTTTGAAATTTATCGCTAGTGGTTCAATGGTTATCGTAAAAATGCTCTACTGCACTTCATTTGACAGGTGGAATATACAAATTCCATCCACTTCGGCATTATACGATGGTTTTATCACGTAAAATGTATTTTCTGACATCATTTCCATTTTTCTTAGCACGTTTTTACTGTCAAAATCTCGCGTTTTAGATTTCCCACCAGATTAATTTCAAGAATAGCTTAACTCTTATTTCCAGGAGTTTTCAACAGTTAATCAAATAGGTTTTGATTAAAATATAAGTTGAACGCTATAAAAGAAATTGAGATCAATAAAATTGATTTTGAATTTATCAAGCAGTTGCTGATTTTGACCCGCACATGAATTAGTAAATTAATTTTCTGTTTTTTTCCCCAAATAATAAAAAGTTGGGAAAGTTAAATAAAAGTTTTTCGTTGAATAAAGTATAATTTTAAGTAAGTTTGGAAGATCGTTTTGATCGGTTTAATGATAATTTTGTATGAAGAAAACAATCGTTGTTTCTTATTTACCAGAAATATTAGCCCACGAAATACGCTTAATTTATTGAATAAGTGGATTTTATTTAAAATTTATGCTGTGTATTTGTATTGCCGTAAGATATCTACGACAAATAGTGTCGAGGGAAAGAGAATATCAGGATGTTAAGTTGAAGTTATGTAGAAATTAATTTAAAGTTTTCTATGATTTCATATATTGGACATGTGGTGTCTTACTTTATCGCAAACATAATTGATCTGAACAATTCAACGAATTTTTCAAAAAATTTTGGCGTAATTGTGTGTTTTAGTTCAGATGTGTAATTTCTTACCATCACATTAGGTTATTAACATTAAGTTATTAAAATTAAGTTATAAACTATCACTTAACTTGTTTTTTCTCATAAAAGCTATGCCACAAAGGACGGGGGTACCTATCACAGCTGCAAAGCGTCTCAAAATGGACCGGTAAGTAACGAGCAAGTTGTATATAATCAGTGTAAACGTATAAGGTATTATTAAACAAGTTACAGTATTACCTTAGGTAATATACATTAATTTATATAGATTAAGTTATATGATCTAAGTTAAATAAATTGCTTGCTTCCCACCAGGCTGCAGCTGGCTAAAGACCCTGTCCCTTATATTGTGGCAGAGCCGCTTCCGAGCAACATTTTGGAGTGGTCAGTTAATTAATTAATTAATTACTTAATTAATTTGCTAATATATAATCAGCAAGCTTTAACGAGTTTTCTCTTATTACATAGGGGGGAGCCAAGTAGATTTATGTAGATATTTGGATAATGTCATCCACTTTTTTCGTGAATTATCCATTGACAATAATCTACAAATATCTACATTTATCTACAAAAAATGTAGGGGGGGGGGGCCAACCATATTAAAGTATATTAAAGTATATCCCCGGGTCAAAATCGGAAAAAATCCTACATTTTAATATACTTTAATATACCTACAATTCGAAGATTTATATTCTTCGTTAAGATTTACATGATGAACTATATTTTTCACTCAGATTCGCAAGATAAGCCTGTTTTAGGACTAGTACAGAATTTCCATCCAGATTGGTCAAAAATTGGCTGAGCTATGAGCTTTAAAAAATATGCCCATATTTGGGCGTACGCTTTTGTCCAAATTCGCTTTTGCCCAAATTCGATAAAATTTCAATATTTTTTAATGAGACTAACTCTATGTGAAAGATGTAACTCAGTGTTTGTTGGATATAGTGGATACTAAGTAAAAAGACCTCCATGAAAAAAATTGGGAAAATTGCACATAATATCTCGGTTCAGAATACTAGCCAAAATAACTTCATTAAAATTGAAATAACTCCATCAGTTTTCAATATTTTTTCAAGAACTTTTTGGAATCGATTAAGGATTGCATTTCAAGCTTATTTTGGGCAAAAATTTTTGATGTAGGCCTCCAAGGAGATAGGGATATATTAAAGTATATTAAAGTATATTAAAGTATATTAAAGTATATCCCCGGGTCAAAATCGGGAAAAATCCTACATTTTAATATACTTTAATATGGTTGCCCCCCCCCCCCCCCCCCAATTTATATCTCAAATATGTTCCCAGAAATTTTACTGAATTTTTGGAGATAAATGTATAAATTTGTAGAATTTGTAGAATTTGTAGAATTTTCGTGAATTATCCATTGACAATAATCTACAAATATCTACATTTATCTACAAAAAATGTAATCTCAAATATGTGCCCAGAAATTCTACTGAATTTTTGGAGATAAATGTATAAATTTAATTTGTAGAATGTCATCCACTTTTTTCGTGGATTATCCATTCTACATTAATCTACAAATATCTTCAAATATCTACTTGGCTCCCCCCCCTACATAACCCTAAAATGTACATCTAACAATCGATTTCATTAATCTCATCAGTAAAGTTATCACCAAATTAATATTCAATATGCAAATATATACTTAACTCCAACTCCCAGGCACTACGTGGTGATGGGACCGCCTGGTTCCCTCTACACCGGAGGTTATTACCATGGTAAACTGGTCTTCCCTAAAGAGTACCCTTTTAAAGCACCCAGTATTTATATGCTAACTCCTAACGGACGTTTTAAGGTCAGTTCCTTTGCATATATACCTTAGTTCGTTTAATTATGGCGGCTTAAATTTTGTGGTTTTTTTTTGGAAATTCCGCCATATTTTATCCGTCATTACTTTTACACGCCACAATTGTATTATTCGCCATAAATATACGAACTTAGGTTGAATATGTAACAATGTACAGTATACAATATTGTGAATTTCGCTTTTTTCTTTGATGTTAGTAAGATGACATTTTCAGTGGAAAAGATGAAACTCCTAAATTTCACTTTCACTTTCACTTTCAGACGAGTACGAGGCTATGTTTATCAATATCAGATTTTCACCCAGACACATGGAATCCAGGATGGAGTGTCAGCACTATTCTTACTGGACTTCTTAGTTTTATGGTTTGCACTTTGCTTAAATTTTGTTAATAAAACCCCCATTTAGAGGTATGACCTTTTTAACGCAAAGTTTACGTGAAAATCAAAAAATAATAGAACACAGATAATAACATAACAATGAAAATAAAATCTTAATAAAATTACTAATAAATAATCATTTTCAGTTAGAAACGTCAGCGACGCTGGGAAGCATTGAAACAACAGATAAAATGAAGTCTATCTACGCTCGAGACAGTGGGGCCTATAATTTGAAAGATAAAAGATTTAAAGAACTTTTCCCAACTTTAGTAGAGGTGAGAATGCGTTAAAAGAAAGACATGCATATATATACAGGTATATATATAGGCTATTATAGAGGTATCTTAGAGTTAGACAGCTCGCAGTAATGTATGAGTGGGGGTTGTTTCACGATGAGTTTCAGGAGCAATTATTTGCGCGGCGCGCTTCAGAACTAAGTGATGCAGCGTCACGCAACATTTCAGCAGCACATACGTCATACACGATATAAGGGTCAGTTTTTAAATTTTTCTTCTCCAGGAAATAGAGGAGAAGATAAGATGTACAGTACCAGAAGAAACCCAAGCTGTAACAGAAGCCGTCCCACTCTCCACTCAGCCAAACAGCAACATGATCAACTTAGCCGTCCTCGTCGTATTTGCGGTCTTCGCTTACGTTGTTAAATTCATGGTGCAGAGCTTACAATGATACTAAAATTGTAATGACATCATCCGGTGACGTAACGAATGTTCTGGTGACGTCATCCGGTGTGATGATGTCATTTACAACCGATTACGTCAGAGGATGAGGATGGTGATCTGCATTAGATCGAGTGGCTGGATTAATAATTGTTTACAATGAAAACTACGCCGGACTCCAATATTAAAAAACCAGTTTAAATGTTAAATGTGTTCTTATTATTGTGGTGAACTGCATGCCAGTTGATTTCTCTGTTCCTGTCATTCGATAACGGTTATCTAAATCCTCATATTTGATAATTTGTAACTAGTGACGAATATACGGCCAACTGCAACCTATTATTTAAAAAATGACATTATTCATCATTCATGGCCCACCTGTCATGTTGAAACACATTGTTGGTTGGATTGTATTAGTATTACAGTTCGTCCAATGGGCGATTGAATCCAAAAAAGGGTACCGTCCAATTTATTTGACATTCGAAAGCATCACTTGTCACTGCAACATATTTGTATTCGTTGTTTGAGTTAACTTAAATCCAATAATCAAGTTTGCTATATTTGTTCACTGTGAAGGGAAATTGCTGTATAATTCTAATTCATATAAGAAAAAGGAAAACTTTAAATTTGATGAGGGAGCGTTAATTTATACCGATCATCTTTGAACCTTGAAATTGTAAATACCAGTTGAACTTTATTGAAAGTTAAGGCTTATTTTTGACTGATAATACTAATATATGTAAGTTGCATTTGCGATTTGTTTTCTTATCCCATTTAACTGTTTCATTTGTAATAACTTACTAATTGTTATACTTTATATCATTGTTCAACAGAAATTTCAATCTTGTTGCTCTACTCATGATTTAGTGAGGGATCGTTTAAAAAAGCCAAATTTTATCTGTTTCAGACCTCCCCCGTTACTGTAGTACTAGTAGTTGTACCCATGGCCATACTGTCACAGTGAAATCTAACCCCAATTTTTCCCTTTTTCCAGTGGC